TTACTTATTTATTTATTTTTCGTTCTCTCTTGCGTCGCAAACGAGAATCGACAATGCCGTTAGGTGCCCGACGCCGGTGAATAATCAGGAGGGCAGACGATTTACAGTGGCGACGCGAGCGATAAACGACCGAGCTGCGCCCTGCGCCCCGAAAATTATTATCCCCCCGCCCGCGCGTAAACTCCTTTATAAATCGAGGCGACGTCGCCCATAAAAAATCATTTTTCGTCTACATACGCGAGCCGAGCGCGTAATTCTTATAATTCACAGCTGCGCGCGATAATTAAATGCCGCGCAACGCGACCACCTGCGAAGAGAGACGAGTATATAGGCTCGTTTTTCTTGCGCTGCTGCTGCCTGCCTGCATTGACAATTTAAATTTGTTGTTTTCGAACGACCACGATGTTAATTTGTGCCCGCTTGGTATGTGCGACGTTTCGTACTGGCATAAGAAACGTCTTCCTCTTTTTTTCTTTTGCTTTTCATCGGGATCAAGAGGGAAAGGGAGAGGAGGCTGTTGTAATTGCCATTTTTTTTCTTTCTCTCTCCAGGGACTTTGGTTTTCATAGCCGATTGACGCGCTCCTATAAGTTTCATTGATTTTTACGATTTTGGATGCGCGTCTTTCTTGCTCCGGTCAACAGCGCGCGAGTAATCGCGCTTATTAAATTGCGAGATCGCAATGCCATAGACTTTACAATTGATTTCGGAAAACTGCATAGCGCACCTGCTCGAGTAAAGCACACATCGATGTGTCAATAATCTTAGATCGCGAAGACTCGAAGAACCGATCAAAATAGCGATCGCGCAGAATTCGCCGAGCGATAAATCACTCGTCGACTACCGGTACACCTGACCGTAAATATATAATCCGATGCCAAAGAAAGGTAATAAAAGGCACGCTTATTCACACGCGCGTTTAATCAGCAGCAACCTACATAGCTGCGAGCGCGAGCCCTCAATTAATCGGCAATAAAGCAAGAACTGACGTCGTATTGGGGTCTCCCTCTCTCTCTCTCTCTCTCTCTCTGTCGATTCGCGAGCGACTACCGTACACGCGGATTCCGTCCGCCGCGGCGCATCGCCCGGTGATCGGAAGTCGAAGAGAAAAAAAGGAAAAGCTCGCGGAGGTGGCTAACGATCAAGGATCTCCCTCTCGCTTCTCTCGAACGTAAAGTGCGCGCGCACTTAATCGAGAAACGAGAGGCAGACGTGCTCCACGCGTAATATAGCTCGCGGTTTTCTTTGTCCAATCGGCAGGTCGGTCGGTCCTCGATCGGGCGCAATTTTCGAAAGTTAATCGATGATAATTATTAATACGAATCCCCCCCGCCAATAATTACCCGCATGAGCGGTCGCGCGAGGCGATAGCGATCCGTGCCTGTGTGCAGAAGAGTTTTGTGCGAACCGGTTTTTCCCCGGAGCGGCTCGCCACTGTAAAAATGAAATCGTACTGTACGTCGATCAGCCAGTTACATAATTAGCCGGACGCGCGAGCGAAAGTAATCCGCGAGTCGAGCGCGCGCGGAGAGAGAGAAAAATGAAAGGAATCGTCGCCGTGGTAGTCGCCACTGCCGAGCTTTCAATTATCCGAGAATTTCGAAGCGAGCGAGGAAGAAAAAAAAGAAACGGCGAAGGAGAGTATCCGTTGAGCTGGTGGTTTCTTTCCGCTGGTCGAATTCCTTGGCAAATCGCAAGTGTAAGTATCGGTTTTGCCGAGTAAGGATCTCCGATCGATTGGCTTTGACCTTCGAATAGCAATTTAATTCCGGGCTAGTTTCTTCTTTCTTTTTCAGCTCTCCGCCCCTCTCGCCGGAGGAATCATCATCGCGTTAAAGTGCTTCAGCGGTCTTCTCTCGTTCCAGGCCCCGAGGCTGAGCTTCCCAGGAAGGTTAAAGGTCGCAAGGTCCACCTCCTTTCTCGCGTGCACACACACGGGCGCGCGCGCACACAGAACCAATCCACCTCCTCTTCCACTTCTTTTTTCAGAGAGAGGAACGCCAAACTTCTTTTTTTCGTTAGCCCACATGCTTTCGGCTCGAATTCCTTGTATTTTTTGTGTGCTGTGTTACGGATGCTCGCGGAAGGCGATGATCTAATGCCGTGTGTATCATTTCGTTGCGTAACCGCATCCTCTTTTTTTCTCGGTAAATCATTTTGGACCTGTCCTTGTTCGTATTCCGAATGTTCGACTAAACCCAGCCCTGTCTACTCGAGGCGTCGCTCGAAAGCGCGGACTTTGCGAGATCGGCGTATTCTGGTTAAGCGCAAAGTGTTCGCAGGTCTTCGCGGGGAAAAAATGCACGCGAACACAAACGCTCGCGTCGACTGCTATTTCTAGCTCTGAGAAAAGCTTACCTCACGCGTGGTTCGCATTCCCTGTGCACGCGCGCAAACAGCTGTTCACATCGCGAGAGAGAGAGAGAGAGAGAGAGAGCACGCGCGATTCAGGGAACAATTCGAGTGCGCGATGCCATGTTGGACGGAGGCGAGTTTTTCTGCTTTTTTTTTCCTCTCCGCTGGTAAACAAGAAAGTCGTTGTCATTTAGCGTTCGACTCTATCAGACGGCGCGCAGGACCCATTATCGTTAGATTTTTCTAACGATAATGGGATAAAAGCAAATAGCAGCAAGCAGGCAGCGAAAGCTCGGCGGTACTCCATGACCAAACTCAACAGCTCGGTCGCGGCGGCAACGTCTCCATCGCGCCGAAGCAAAAATAAAGAGAAAGCAGATAGGCGATCTCGTGGCGAAAGAGTATCGCCGTAACCCCACTATACGGCCATCTCCGATTTGGGAAAAAGATCGGCTCGCTCGGCTGCAATTACGGCTCGAGCTCGGTTCGATTGGCCGGCTTGGCTTTGCGCGGGAACGCGCCGCCAATGCGCGCAGCTGCCGCAGAGCAGAGAGAGAGAGAGAGAGAGACTCTCGAAGAGGCCCCCGTTGCATAGAGCGCGCACGAGGAAGGTCCTTTAGTCTAGTCGCGCGGCGGCCCGCGCCAACACGCCGCTTCTATAGCGTATTGTGTTTATCGTCGCGTACTCCTACCACCTCGCCGGCTCTTGTGCGCGAGTTCGCGTTTCGCTGTGATCGATCAGGATGTTAGTTTTGCTCACGAGCAACGATGTTAGAGTGATCTCCTCTGCGTGAAATGTGTAAGTTCCGATATCGGGACAAACGCCACCGATCGAACGACAATAAAGAACGCTGTTGGGAGTCGCGCGGACGCAAGGATTTATGTTACGGGGACGTTCGACCAAGTTGAGCATTTAAATGCGCGATTCGATCGACTGTGCGGTAAAAATTACAGCGAGTCCCAAAGAAAACCAAGGCGCTCGCAACGATAATGATTTTTTTTTTGTTTTTTTTTTTTTTGTTTTTGCGAAACGACAACCGTAGACGTGTCAGTGTAACACACGGCGCGGCAAGCGTTCTCGAGGACCGCTGGGAAGCTTCGGCGGTATTCCGACTCGGCGCGCGCGCCGATTTAGGAAAACGCATCGCGATGCTGATGAATCGCGACGAAGACGAAGCTCGGACTCGTTGCAAATATGTGTGCTAGGAGTGCATGATTTATCGGCTCTGTCGCCGATGCGCGCGCCGAGAAAGCGCTTCCCGCAAAGAAATGAGAGAGAAAGAGGCGCGTATACAAGCGCGCAAGCCGAGCACGCGCGTTTAATCATCGCGATTCGTAATTATTTTGACCGCAAATTGCCCAGCTGGAGAGAGCCCCGAAGACCGGTGTGTTTTCTAATGCCGCCTTCCGCAAGTAGCCATTGTGCTTTGTTTGCGCTGCGGCTGACGCTGAAAGCTCGGCCATTATCTCTCGGCTGAAATGACATGTACAATTTTGTCGTCGTAAGTTCTTTGTGTGGCTACGTATGCCAATCACCGTGCATTCCGAGCGAGCGTCGCAAAGCAGTCGATGCGGTTGCGACGACGACGACGACGACGACGACGCGACGACGACGACGAGCGCGAATATAGACGTCGCGAGTGGAGAGAACTCACGGACGTGAGAGGGCAAAAAGCGTCCGCCTTCCCTTAAGACGCATGCCACTTTATGAATTATTGAGAGGACGCCGCTAAGAAAGCTCTCGCCGTCGTCGCGCCATCTTGAATTCCTAAGGATTTTCTTTTCGTCTCATATAATGAATACCTGTGATTTGATTTCGTGCTTCTTTTTTTACGCTGCTGACGACAGCTGCGGATAAAGACGCGTTCCTATCGGCTGGTGCATTGCAGTTTTATCGGATTACTCCGAGTTTTTTGCCGACTAGTCGTTAAGCACATTGATTTTTTTTCAAGGGATCCGCGCGACTTCAGTAACGACCGCTTGGAAGCAAGAGACTCATATATCGGTCGATTATCAAAGTACTCGGCAAAAATAGAGAGAGAGAGAGAGAGAGAGAGAGAGAGAGAGAGAGAGAGAGAGAGAGAGAGAGAGAGAGAGAGAGGCCCCTCGCGTTTAATATCAATGTAAATAAGGAGATATAAAGAGAAGACTGGCAAAGGAGCCGATAGGAATCCCCATCGAATATAATTCCCAGTCGGGCGCGCGTTATAAAAAAGCTCGAGCGCAGGCGCGCGCACGCGACTGTGACGCGCGCAAAAACCCGTCGATTGCTTAGGAGCGCCGATACGCGCGACGAGAGCGAGCGAGCCAATCGTACCATGTCGTCGCTGTTGCGAGTGAGCCTCCCGACAGGCCTTCTCCATTCGCGTACATATATATATGCGTACGTGTACGTACGCGCATAATCCTCCAGCTTTAATAGGCAATTTTATCGAGCGCGGCGACGTTACGCTGCTCTTTGATTATCGAAGGAGAAATAAGAGAAAAGCCCCCTCTTAGCGTAAGCGAATTTCACGATAGGAATCGCCGGCGGGATGGAGGCCAGCGTCGCGCGCAAACGTTCCACGGCGAGGCTTCGATTGTCTCGCAGATCCATCGGCCCGAGCGCCGTGCTAATTCCACTGGTTTGTTTTGTCTGTTTGCAGGAGAGTTGAAAAAGCGCTACCTGTCGAGCGCCAATAACGAATCGGAGCCGCGACGAGGCAGCGAGATCGAGCTAACGACATCGAGTGTCGAGCGGGGCACAACCTCGGCGTCGCACGACGACCACGGCCAAGAGACCGTCCTCAAGGTTCCGTATATGCACAGTAACGCCCGATAATCTTGGCGCTCGACAACTATTTTCAATTTTCGCGAGCAAATTGACCCGCGGCTCGCGTAACTGGATCCAACGGCTATCAGCCCCCCCCCCCCCCTGATAGCGATGCGTTTAGTTGCGATTCGTCTTTCGTTCGAATGGGAATCCACGCGGCTGCGGACGCGCGTAGCCTTTGTCGAGCCCCCCCCCCCCCCCCCCCATTCTCTCGCGCGTTCCGAACGACGGCCGTTTTTCCAGCGACGCGGCCCAAGTCGTTATCCAAATCAACTCGCGGCTTACGAGCGCTTGAAAAAGACACGTTTAAAGCCCTTACACGCGGCTGGCCGTCTTACATAAAAAGAAATGGCGCGTACACGAGTAATCCGCTCTTATAAATCAATATAATCCAGTGCGCGCACAGGTTTGCTCTGAGGCTCTCTCTCTCTCTCTCTCTCATTGAGCGAATCGCGCATATCACGCTCTCCCGATTGTTACTTGCATGCGCTCTGCTCGCGCTCGCGCAAGAAGAGGGCAGAGGTAATTCGCGGTGAAAACTGGTTCCGGAGTGAAGAGAAACACATGGGAATTTCGCGCGGTAGAGGAACACATGCGCCTGCGCACACCGGCACATCGTAATCGAAATTACCGGCTTGAGATTCTTCAGGGAGAGAGAGAGAGAGAGAGAGAGAGTTGGAGTGCGCGTCGGATGAATGGGAGGCGATACGATATATATAGAACGCGTGGGCTTTTGTTGCTATCGACTAGAGATTAAAGGGAGGCATAAGCTTTGAAGTTGCTGTGTATCGTATGTGTACCGATCAACGGCTTTGCGAGATTGAACCGCTTCGTCGTTTTTTCCTCCTCGTTCTCTATTGCAAAGAGGTTATAGCGGAAGTTTATTTGTTCAGGCACGCATGCCCTATTCAATAGAGCGCGCAAAAGTATCGTTTACAAACTGTACAATGGGCACCGTATGGAATATTATCGATCAATTTTTTCTTGTTTTTTTTTTTTTTTTTTTTCTTTTTCGCTTGCTTCCCGACCGACCGAAAAAGAGAATTTTTTTCTTTCGGCTCGCTCTCGCGTCGCCGAGCCACGTAGAGCGAGCGCGAGGCGCTCTTTCCCGCGCTAACGAAGGATAATGCAACGTCCGCGGGACAAAATGTCAAATTCTAGGCGCCAGCGATTAGCGGCGAGCGTAGGCTGTCGCTGCTGGCGTTGCGCGCGGGAGCTGAATATCCTTCTCGCCGCTTCCCCGCTGCGAGAGGCGCGCGGGGCTAATTTGCCGGCGGGACGATTATCTCTCTCGCGAATTCGCAGAAGGCGAACACGATGGAGCGAGAGAAAGATTGCGAGAACTCGGACGATCGTGCGACACGCGCGCGCGAGCTCGGGGGAACAAACGCTCTGGCTGACGTCCGTCGAGGCTAGATGGGTTCTCAAATCAACGCGCCGCTTCGTTGCGGGACACGGCTATGGAGCTGTAGTCGACGCGCGGGACGCAACGACGATATAATTTGATCGGCGAAAAACAAAACCGAAGGAAAGAAGAAGAGGGCGACGCGTCCGAGCTGGCACGAAATGGAAAACCAAGCGGCGAGAGGAAGAGCGAGGAAACGGGGAAAAGATATAATTAACGCGATAAGCGGTGGCCAGCGGGGGGCGCCGGGTGGGGGAACTGACCAAGACCAGCGAGAAAGCTCGAGCGCTACGCGACTTGGGAGCTTCGCGTAGTCGCAACTTGCACGCGCACCTCGACCGTTCGCTCGTCTATTCCTTTTGCGCGGCAGCAACGCCGTGCCTGTGACAATGATTTGTAATGCTGCGCGTCTCTCTTCTCCCTCGTTCGCGACGCTTCGCGCTCGAGCTTTACGGAAATTATACACACGCGAACAACTTTACCTTGCTGCATCTTATACCGCGATCTCGCGAACAATCAACGTCGCTATTCAACTTTTTAGCTATTAACTCGATGCTGATAGTGATCGTTGTTTTCGTTAAATGTCACTTCAAATTCATTTATTCTTCATAGTAAAAATTAAGGCATATAGAATTCATATCTTATACAATGAATAAAAAATACGCAGGAGAAAAAATTTCTTAATTTATTGGTCGCGTTTTCGAAAAAAAAAAAAATAGAATTTTCGTTTTTTAAACCAAGAAAAAATGGCTATTTTTAAGAAAGATTTCTCAAATTTGAGAAGCTTTTACCGAGCGTCCTCGGCTCACAATTACGGAGTCACGTTATTCAGAATAAGAATCCGTATCAAGGATGGATTTTGCGTGATTTTCCTTTCGGGGATAAAGTTAATTTTGACATCTTGTACAATGGCTAGCGTCTAGCAGGATGGTCGCGTTAAACTCCGCAAAGGTGAAAAATGATCGATAGTTACCGTAGATCGCGACAGCCATCTGTCAAGCAAACGACGAACTGGCCATCCGATTACCGATGGAAAGATCGTCGTTCTGAAAATACGGAATAACCCGGTCGCGAAAGACACTGCGTCAAGCGTACATGCGGGATTCCAAGCGGGGAGCATTGTGATTTTTGCAAAACTGATACGTCCAGCACGTATACTAGCCGGCTCTCCGGAGAGTCCTAGATAAGATCGTCACGCCGCGAGCGAGCGCGTAACTGCTGTTTCAAAGCCATGCAAGCTAACAAACATATGCATTCACGGTAGCTCTTTTCTCCCCTATAGATAGATATCTTGAGAATTTCATTAGCATGATATCCCGAGAGAAAGAGGCAGAGAGCTACTTTCGCAGCCGATTCATTTTCTCGAAACGCGGAAATTGCAGTTTGATTTTTCTTTTCCATGTTGTTTTCATTCCCCCATTAACCGGGCAATAACGCGTTAGCGATCTCGTTTTCGGGACTCGCGCGTATCGAGCTGAAATAAATGGCAAAGTATCTTTATAATTACGAGCGCCTTCGGCCGCCTGCATACGCGCGCGAGTCATTAACTCGCCTACTCGGATACGTTGCCTTCCCCCACATTTTCTCGATTTCCACGCGCGCGAGAACTTTCTCCTTTCCCGTTCCGCGCAATCAGTTGTGCTTCTTCTGTTCCCGTCGGAAGACGCGCGCACTCGCTCTCATAATGTCTTCCATCTACGGGTAGGCTGTTCGATCCTCGCGGCTAATTTGCTAATTCGCGCGGCGGCAGCTCGAGAGACGGAAAGGGAAGAAGCGAAAAGAAGCGAAAAGAAACGAAAAGAAACGAAAAGAAACGAAAAAGAGAGAGAAAAGGCATCGCGTAAATTAATAAACTTGTGCTATGCGGTTATTAACTAGATCTCACGCGGCTGCGCACGTGACTGCGCGAAGGACAAGAAGAAAATCGCCAAAGTAATTACAGTTTGTGTCTGGCGCGAGAAAAGGAAATGGAAAACGAGCCTCGGCTGGCCGCCTATTGGCTGATGCGAAGACACGTGTAAGCCTTGCGTCTCGCGCGCGCGCGCGCGCGCGAGGAGGGAGAAGGTGTTCCATTACGCTTCTACGCCCATAAGACAATCTACGCGCTTGAGAGAGCGCGCGGCGTTCTAGACGTCCATTAGATTTAAATTATTGGAATGACTCGGTGTGTGTACCTCTGTAGCTTGTAGTAATCTTCGGTGGAACGGGTATTAGCACAACATCAAGTTTCATCCGAGACCATCGCTTTATAACACTGCAAAATTGATAGCTCAATCAACGCTCTTAACGCTTTGTATGCATAAGGCGCGCAGGCCACGCTTTCCTTTCTCTTGTGACTATATGACACGGCGCTTTCGCACGCGCCTCTTTCAGCCGACCACCGGTCGGCCATCCTAGGTCTAGCCAAGTCAGCCTTTTACTACTCATTTCCAAAAGTTATACGTTCTATTCTTCCCTGTTCGCAGGAAAATGGGTGTACGGCGCAGACGGTGGACCTGGTGGCGGACTGCCCGGAGTCGGTAGTAACGTCCTCGTCGCCTTCGTCGTCCTCGCCGCCGCCGTCGTCGCCGTCGTCGTCGTCCTCGCCGCTGTCATCGTCGTCGTTGTCGTCGCGGCCAATCTCACCAACGGACGTAGCGGCGAATTCGTCGAGCCCACCGGCAAGTCCAAGTATGGGCCAAAGGACCTCGAGCGTCGGGCTCTTGAGACCAAAAATCTCCTTGACCTGGGTGTTGCGCGGCCAGCAGTTTCACTCGCACAACCATCACCAGCACCAGAATTGCGTCCATCAACAGCAACAGCAGCAGCAGCAGCAACCACAGCAGCCGAGCAACAACAACAACAACAACAACAACAACAACAACAACAACAACATAATCAACAACAACAACAACAACAACAACAACAACAACAACAACAATATCAATAACAACAACAACAATAATAACAGCAATTTACTCAACAACCAACATTCAGTGGTGGTCGAATTGCACCGAGAGAAAGACACGAATCCTGGTGAGTAGTCGACGGTTCTCGCGATGCGCGTACGAAGCAAACTTGTGATATTTGTCGTCACTTGTATCGGCAGCGAAAGAGCGCGAGGAGAAGGAGCGCGCATTTCGCAGGAGCGTCAAAAGCGTGAATAGCGTAAAAAGCGCGAAGAGCGCGAAGAGTGGCAAAAACAACGAGGCGTCGTCGAGGAATAAGGACAGAAACAAGGAGAATCTGGACAAAGCGGACAGAAAGACGATTCCGCAGCACACCTACGACAAGATCGAGCGAGCCGACGCGGTGAGTTGCCATTTGAAACATGACGAATAACGCGTCGATCTGATCCTCCCTATCCAAGAGAAATCTCAACGCCGCGCAATTGATTAGGTGACGGAGAAGAATCAGCTGAACGAACCGACGGTGCTAAGCGAAAAGCGAGCGCTGGAAAAGGATCATCAAGTAATCAAAGAAGCCAAGGGGATCGACAAAGATAAAGTGAAGCGAGCCACATCCGAGCTAAACCTGATAGCTCAGGAAGCGAGCAACAGCGGCAACAATGCAACGCGAGAGAAGCCGCACAGGCATCGAAAACCCAAACGCGCCCACAGACCAAAAACGCCCAGCACGTTCGGCTACGAGATCGCCGATCTCGATTCGTTCCTCGCGAAGGTCAGGAAAGTCCTCGTCCTCGCCCGACGACTTGCCAACTAATCGAAACCAACGTTGAATTCAGGCAACGATCGAGCAGCCAGCCAACATTCCGGTGGTACTATCGACAGCGACGACACTGTACCAAACGCAAAACGGCACGCAAGCCGAGTTGGCTTTGCCCCTTGGCACAGTGGTCAACGCGATTTTTAAGAATCAAGCTTGGCTTTACGTACAGACGCCTCATGGCCACGAGGGTTACGTCGGTTACGCAGCTTGTCTTGCGCTTGGGATACTACCCCAGTCGACTCGCGGACATTGTTGGGAGGATTCGACCGATGTGTTTCCCAGGCCGCTCGGTAAGTTGCTTACTTCTTTTTTTTTGTATACACGCACGGACCTAATTATGATTGATTTTAGCGTCGTGGCGATGGGATTTTGCGATACGAACGATAATTATTGCGGGGCAAAACAAATATTTTCATCTCATTAATCATTTCAATATTCCGACTTTTTATTTTCTTTTTTTTTTTAATTGAATCTCTCGTACGGAAGTTGATTAACTGTCGTGTCGCAGAGACATATCGTTCCGAAAAAGAAAGCTTCGTTCAAAAATATCAGCGCCACTTACAGCTCGACAAACAAACTCAAAGAAAATGTGAAATGGCGCAACCAGTTTACCTTTACGACTTCCCCATCTGGTTCACAGATAATTTTCATCGTCTTATCGGATCAATTATCTTTTTGCAGGTAACCTAACGGACACCGAAAAGCTCCGTGATACGCGTTCCGAGTGCGGCGGCACTAGCAGACGAACAACCACCAGTAGCAATAACAGCAACAACAATAACGAAACACGTTGGGCCCGTCGAGCACAGTCTGTAATACCACGCTCGACGTCGACCGATCAGCAGCAGCAACAGCGCGAATCGAAAAGCGTCCGACATACGTTGTTGTTGGTACGCGAGGATTACGAGGATAACGAATCGAGTGAGACGTTGAATGTGAGCAAAGGCGACGTGGTGGTACTGCTGGCCGAGCGTGCGCCCGACTGGTTTTGGGTGAGAACTCGCGACGGACGACAAGGTTTTATACCAGCCGCTGTGGTTGGCCACGGCTTTTTATGAAAATCAATTCACGCCATTTGTGATCGTTGACTGATTATATTAATGTGCATTTTTCTCTTTCAGACGAGCTTAGTCAATTTAGTTTAATGAAAGTCGGTAAAGTTTTTTATCAATAACTCATGTGGGAATATTATTTTGTAATTTAATAAGATCTTTATTTATTTCACATAAATAAATAAATGTTCATTTGTGTACATACGTATTTTCTTATTTAATATCTCATTCGCTTTTTTATTAAGTTGAACAAATCGAGTTATATTAAATTCATTTGATCAATTATTTGAGATGTACAATTATAGTGATCATATATCTACTGGTAACAAGTGCAATTGAACTGATTATTATTAAGCGACAATACTTGCACTTGTACTCGAAATTTACGGCGTTTTCTATCCCTAATTAGGATTATTAATCAATGTAGATTAATGTAATCTCACTGTACATTTGTACAAATTTGCGCTTTATGATTGGATATAAAAATATTTGCAATAATATATTAAAATGTTTAATAAAATGTTGCTCCAATTGTTTTATTTCAACCTTTTATCTCGACAAATGAAAACTAAAAATAATATGCACATTACGAATTTCACAAAAAAACATAAGACTTTTCTTGTTACTGATTAATTACGTAAGTTAAGATTTAACGATTTTTTGATTGAATATAGAATTTATCAACAAATACACATTGGATCGTGTACTTCGAACTTATAGCCAAAAATTGCATAAAAAGCTTGTTGGAATAATTCAATTAATTCATAGTATTCTCTATTAGGTTTTTTTGTATTTACTGATAAAATAGTAATTGAACTGGCTAAGCTTGATAAAAGATCCATCTTATTACCTTCATATTTGTCCATTCCTATTTTTGAAATAGTTCTTTGATGCTCTTTACTTCTAACAATAGCTCTTACAACTGATAACTTTGCTTCTTTCTCTCTAACAAGAGTCTGTAAAAAATAGATAATGTATTTAAGCATGTCTTCCGTGCAAAATTTCATTTTCAATTCTTACCAAAATAGAAGGAAGCTCATCAAACAAAGGCCAAATTTCAACACAAGCTAAACAAGAACACTTGAAAAAATACTTTTTTAAAAAATCTTCCCTTTGTGTTTTTGAATGGAAAGCAAAATGACAACCATAATCATCAAATATCTAAAAAAAGAATAGTTAGTAAGTAATATTACAAATAAGAAGATTCTTTTGATAAGTAAATTACCTGTGAGCCTTGTTTTATAGGGCAAATAGCATAAAATACTTGCTGCATTGTTTGGTCTTTCATAACAGTGCATCTATTTATATTAGGATTGCAACTATGATTTAGCAGACTTGCTACTGGACCAATTACTGAACCTATTCCTTCATATTCATTATCACGAAATTCGACAAACTATAATAACAATTATTCAGTAATAGAAAGAAATTATGAAATTATAATAATACATTTCTCAAAAATATAACCTCATGATCATTTATCTGAATAATTGTAGCATGGCAAGCAATCAGTTTTCCAAAAAACATAACATCCTTATTTTTACATAATGTTAAAATATCTGCATCTGAATTATCACCAAAAAAAGATGTAAGTGTAAATAAGTAATGCAAGATAAAAGCTGTATTTAAAGATATTGTTAAAATTTCAGGTCTATTTCTAACACTTTCATGACCCTCTAAATTATATAAAGCTTTATATTTATCACTGCGATAAATTCCATCTGATAAACATTTCATTATGTAATCTGAAAAAATTAAACTGAAAATTTTTCATCTGTTAAAGCTGACTTGTAAGAGATGGAATTTCAACTCACCATTACATTGATCAACTTTTTTAAGATCCTTTTTAAGATTCTTAATACTGCCACTCTCTCTTACAGCCAAAATTGCAAGTTTTAAACTAAATAATCCTATGCCTTGTATTGATAAGCTCTCTAAATATCCTCTAACTAGGCATTCAATATCATGATATTGCTTCCAAGCTTCATTTTTACAATTTTCAGAGCAATACATAGCATAAACACAATATTCACAAGGAATGATATCCCATGATCTCACAAAACAGTGTGAACAATGAGAGTAAATATTTTTTGAATGTAAAAGTGATGCATAAGGCTTTTCCACAATGAGAATTTCGCCAGCTTCAATGTCTCTATCAGCTATTAAATGTTTTCCAAACTCTTTGGTGTATTTGATACAAATAGCATCCGAAGCAGATGGTATACATTTGTTTGAATCAAATTTGAAACTACATTCTTCCTTCAATTTACAATCTTTTAACTCATGTTCGTGTATTGAAGTAGTCTCTGCCACTCTACTGATTTTCTCTTCAAGTAATTCTTTGGCCTCATCATTCAAATTCAAACTCTCTAATAAACTCCTTGCTTCTTCGCAAATTTTTTCAGATTCTGGGTTACCTAGCAGTTTTAAACATTTAGCTTTACGACGAGTCAAGTTAACTCTGAAATGATCTGGATAGCTAGACAATTGTAATGCTCTGTTAATGTCGCGAATACATTCATTGTGGAATTTTAAATGAAAGAGAACAGATGATCTATTCCCATAAGCTAGTGCTAATTCTAAGGATGACTCTTTTGCTTTTGCTATGCACTTGCAATATAATTCCCAAGCTTTTATTAATCCTACAAATCTGCTTTTTTGTTTAATAATTAATTTATCTGCTTGTTTTCTCAATTTTCTTGATTCTTCGTTGTCTTTTTGTTCACACTGTACGTCAAGTGGCAAAGTATCTTGTATTGCCTGCAAAGTAATCTGAATTCTAGCTTCGAAATCACTTTTTCTCTCCAACTCATCAACTAAACTATCCAACTTCAATAAAGATACTATATCTTGAGGCATCATAGTGAAAATGTTGATTTGCCAGATAATCAACCAACAATGAAGATAAAATATTATTTCAACTTTTATTAATATAGCTCGTTAATTTTTCAGATGTAATCGGTGAGTTTATTTCAAATTTATTGCTTACTACCTACTTTATAAGAACTTTTTAGTTAGAGCTTTACGTTAAAAAGAATATCAAAACATTCTCATATATTCGTTGTTTGGATTTTTAAATTGCGGCATAACGGCCAATTAGTAGTAGCACACGTTCTTTCTTTACTACCAACCGAACAACCCGACAAATTAAAAAAAAAACGGGCGCGCTTAGCGGGCTGTATAAATATTCGAATTTCTTATATGAAACTACATAGTATTACTACATTTTTCCAAGTTTATATAAAAATTAAATGACTATGTTATGTTTGTCCAACTCCGAAAATTTGTTTATTAATAATAAAGTCAATTTTAACAATTAATTATCAATTTTTATAGTATGAAACAAAGTGAGTGACAAAAATAATTTCGAAAATATAATTATGAAATAAATTTGATATTTTATTATAAAAATAAACAAAAATATGTACAAATGTCCTAAAACTTTAGGAACTGAAACAATAACAATTTTTAAATATAATTTTTTCATAAACAATTTTTTAACAATTATACATAAACCTTTGTCTACAAAATATAAGAAATACTGTCTTTTACAATTATTAGCATCTAAAAACTTTTTTAAGAAACCTATAACGATTTTTGTCCGATGTTTCTTAAAAATCTATTCTATTTCCATAAATAAATAAAAAAGCCTGTCTAAGTGACATTACTGATTCATAAAATTCTTCATTTGGTTGTGAACTATAATTAAATAATACTGTGACTACTTCAGTTAAGCTTGATAAAATCGATTGACTTTCAGAATCTAAAAACTGAAAATCAGCACTCATTACAGTTTTTTTGTAAAGAAAACATTTCTTAATCCATTTTTTCAATTCGGCTTGATTTTCTCTAAATTTTGTAGTTAACAACTGCAATAAAAAAATGAAATAAATAGTTGAAAATAGTATAAACAAATATATAAAACTCGTTACTCACACAAATGGACTTCAAATTTCCATATGAAGGCCAATCATTCTCACAAGCTTTACACTTACAAAGAAATTTGTATTGGTAACAAAGATTTTTTCTTCTAGATAGAGATTCAGTAGCATAATCAAACCCATAATCGTCAAAAATCTAAAATAAAAATTGTAAATTATGAAAATAACTTTTATCCACAAACAAAATATATTAATTGTACTTGGGATCCTTGTTCTATTGGGTGAACAGCTAAAATCATTTGTTGAGGCTTGTTGCCATTCTCCATTACAGGAATCCTAGTAACATTTGGATTACAACTGTGATTAAAAAGACTGCAAAACAAATAAATTCCTGCACCAAGATTATGGTTTTGACCTCTACGGTCAATTTCACTGAACTACAAATATAAAATTTCTAAATTTCTAAAAACTAATAAATTTTAGCATATTCATTTTTACTTACTACATGATCATTCATTTGGAGAGTCATATAATGATGAGCTATTAGCTTAGCTACAAAAATCACTTTTGGATTGTCTGATATTTTTTTAATACTTTTGTCCGAATTTTCTCCAAAAAATAAAGTAGAAATGTATGTGTAATAAATAATAATGGCACTATTCAATGTAAGACTAATAAGCTCTGGCCACATTCTTTCACTTTTATGAGTTTCAAGGCAGTAAAGTGCTCTATAAATATCACTGTAATAAACACCATCTAACAAACACTTTTCTAGTGGATCTGAAATTAATTACTGTTATAAAGTTGACAATTAAATTAGTAAAACTTTTTCTCTCACCTTTAATATCATCAATACGGTTTAATTCTTCCTCAAGCTTTTCAATGCTGCCAGCTTCTCTGATGGCTATTAAAGCTAATCTTAAACTAAATGGTGCCAATTCATTCATTTTCATATTAACAAAATAGCCTTTAACAGAACATTCAACATCATGATATTGTTTCCATGCCTCCTCTCTACACAATTCAGAGCAATACATGGTATAAACACAATTAGGACAAGGAATACTGTCCCATGCTCTTGCAAAACAATGAGAGCAATGAGTATAAATGTGATCTAATTTCAGCTGCAAAGTATAAGGTCTCTCAATTGCTAAAACTTCTCCTACACTAATATTACGAGTTGCTACAATATGCTTTCCATAGTTCACATTATACTTTATATCCACAGCATCTGATGCACAGGGGATCTTATTGTTTTTTACAATATTTGGTAAAACCTGTCTTGTCATGTTACTTTGAGATTTTTGCATATTAAATTTTGTAGCAGATTGTATCTTTTTTGTAATTTCTTCTTTATTGTTGTCACTTAATTGTGCATTTTCCAACCATTTCCTGGCTTCTTGACACGCATTATCAGCTTCTGGTTTCCCTAACAACTTCAAACACTTTGCTTTTCTTCTTATTAAATTGGCTCTATAAGAATCAGGATAGCTTAATTGTAATGTTTTGTTGATGTCCCTTACACACTCTTCATATTTTTTCAAATGATATAAAATTGCTGATCTATTAGCATATGCTAAAGGTAATTCTTTAGAATTATTTTCTGCATAAGCTATACTTTTGGAATAAATTTTCCACGCATGCAAAAGTCCACTTACTGTGCCTTTTATTTCAAAAAATAACTTATCAGCTTTTTGACGTAGAGTGTTTGATCTAACAGTGCTTTTACATTCATACTTATAAGCATTTAAAGGAACTATTTCGTTCAATACTTCAATTGAAGTTTTAATTTGATGTTCAAAATCGCTTTGGTTAGAAAATTTTTTGCAATATTCCTCATATTTATTAGCTTGAATAAGCTTTGACTGAACAAACATTTTGCAAAATAAAGAGTTCTGAGGCTGTCTCGTGATCCATCCATTCTCTCTAGATGGTATCGGCCATCCGCAACCGGCAGGAAATTGGCTCATTAAATATATAAGCCCGTATAGCGGCTAGAACACTGAACGTATAAAGTAAGTGTTACCGGCTGTCGAGCTTTCCCTGATGAATTCAGCCAGTAACACCGGATCAAAAACGCCTTCTGTATTTATCAAATTCGTTTTTCTTAAGCCCCGGTTCCATAGGTACAAACGTATGGATGCGGACGGATACGGACGTAGTAACATCACTAAAAATATCTAGTTCGATTATTTAGTACCAACACTACCGGTAGTGAGTAAAAGTGACTGTTGTTTAAAACTGTAGCGTCGAACGTACACCCAACGTGGATTGAATCGCGACCCCCCCAGTTAGATTGGTATGAGAATTCCGTCGTTGCATTGAACGAAGAAACCGCGGGAAAATTCAAAAATGAAAATTCGTTTTAAGATACGATAAAAAGCTAAAACGTTACTAATTTGTTTTTAGGTTTAAAATTAATTGTTTGCCGAACAATGAATTTAGATGCATGATTATTTGATTTTAGGTTTTAATTATATAATTTAAGAACGAGCGTTATACTATGGCCGATCTGAAAACCACCGTTACGGACTGAAAGTAGCACTCATAGTCTCATACCAACCTAACTGGGGGGGTCGCGATTCAATCCACGTTGGGTGTACATACCACATTTAATGTTCAAATGTCAGGTCTACAATTTACTTTTCAAATTTTCATGAATATTGCTTATTGATGAGTATGCTAATGTAAAAAAAGTTTTTGGGATGATTAATACATATCATTTATATATATTTTCTTCTTCTTCTCATATATTCAAGTACTTCCATGAAATTAAGGCCTAATTCCACTAATTGTAGTTGAAAGTCTATCAATTCTCTATCATTTGCCATCTTATAGACTGCAATAATGTAAAGGTTAGATAGGCGTTACATTAAATGTGGTACATACATACAATATCTGGACGGAAATTCAGTAGAATGTTTATTCTTTTCTCGACTATGAAGTCTTAAGGCAAAAATATATTTTTTTAAATTGATTCGATGAAATATTATATTCATACATTTTAAATACATTTTTAATTAATGAAAATTTGTAATAAAGACATGTGTCTTCGTATTCGCTGTGAGCATGTAAAGAGAGGGGATAGCAGCACTGGCGTCAATTTTAACATGGGTTCTTATGGGAATTTCCCACTTTTACGCTGACGGCGGCCACGGAACTAATTTCTTCCCATAAGATTAAGAACATACTCGAGATGTTCAAATTAGCGTCTTATAAACACAATAATAGCAATAGAATACATTTAACAACTTTTCGCAAAATGTTAGTCTTTAAATCATATAAAACACGAATAAAGCGGTTATCCATGTTATTCTGTGTAATTTCAAATCTGCGCTCACGCAAAAATTATTGAGATATTTTATTATTATAATTGATCCTTAAAAATGCTACTGAGATGATTATTTAAACATTTCGAGGGTTTTTCAAACTAAAATATCCTTTTATGTATATTTGTCATGTCAGAATTAGTGTCATTTTCATTGTGTCAGATTCCTTCTGTAAACAGCCTAATATTGCGTTTACTATACGAGGACGGTAGAGGATGTGATATCGTAGGGATTTTATTATAGATACTAGACTTTTTGAACATTCCACTAGATGGTATAATCACTTGTCAGTTGTTTGTGTTAACGCAGTAGACCGCGGGAGTATATTAGTGTCCTGTGTACAAACACGTACTTATTTGTGTATATATAGGAAATATAACCTAAAACCAGTGGTCAATCTGACTATTAAATATAATTTTTACTTTTTACTTTTTTGTAATAAATTTGTAAAATGGGTAAAAAAAGAAGTGTTCAACATTCAGTTCCGGATCTTGTGAAGATTGAAGTTAAAGATGAAATCGGTAAATTGGATTTTCAATATAGCATTCTTTCAATTATTACTCTAATGTATTTTGTTTTTTAAAACATTCGAATGTTAAAAATATCACCATTCAATTTGTGAGTAGATAGCAACGTGCTCATGGCAAGAGACAGATTTAGAGGCGCTTTGAGGGAATTATTGCATCCCAGTGACGAAGGTTCGTCTGCAGACTCAGGTGATGACACTCCTTTGAATGATTATAGAATGACTCCAAAGAGAATGTAAATTAAATAAATGTAGATTATGTAATTCAATTATTTATTAGTCATTTTTTTATTTATTTGTAAAATTGATTTTTTAAGGGATTTATATCGCCCTAAGCAAATGCTGAGCCATTCTCGAAAATTAAAAAGACGCAGACAGATGCATATGGATTCTGCATTCCATCACACTTATGTTATGAAACTATTTGATAGAAGTGTTGATCTTGCTCAATTTGAAGAAGAAACGCCACTATACCCGATTTGTCGAGCATGGATGGCTAATCAACCTAGGAATCCTAATCTTGTACCAAAGTGTGTTCATTAAGCATTTAATGCATTCTAAAGATTAACTTTTTTTTAAATTAACGTAATATTATATTTGTACAGAGCTAGAAGTCCAAGTCCAGAAGTACCAACAGAATCCAACAATATTGAGAATTTATTTGATGCTAATGGGGATATAAGGGATATTTTTTCATTACCACCACCAGGACCTAGTGAAGAAGCATTTCCAAGAAATCGGATTCCATCACCAATACCAGTTGAAAAAGAAGAACTTAATCTAGATTATGTAAATATTAACAACTAATAAGACTTATTCTATGGTATTCAAAAGATGTTTAATTATTTATGTTTATCAATATAGGAAGGACAGACATTGAAATCACGAGAAGCATTAATGAAAGAACACAGAGAACACTGGAGTGTTGTTAGGAAGAAATGGCACCAACAAGCTCATAAAAATGAACAGCGTTTTAGTGATAGTGCCACAATTTTAGGGACAATATTCAAAAGGTAAAACAATCTAATTTTCTATAAGCTAATAAGCAAGTTTTTCACCTACACAGATTAATCCACGAATTTTTTTCAGGGCACAATCAGAATTTGACTAGCTTCATTACAACTTCGTTTGATATTTATATCAATATAGGTATATTGAGATAAAGTAAGATTTATGTAATGAAATCATAGATAAGTGGTCAAATGTTTTATCAATTCATATTTGTATTTTAATTAAATCTTAAATGATAATTTTAATCAAGAGTAAATAATTATACATTTTTGAGAATTATAAGCGTTTTATTTCAAATATTGACAAATTTAATAACTTACGTTATACTTTCAACAAATAGGATTCTTTTGTTTGCCTATTTTTGAGATCGGTATTATGACAGAGAATTCTTGTAACATCAAAAAACGATCACTGTAAATGTAACAAGATTTCATTGTCCATACATTCAAAATGAGTTCTATTACTTCATATAAAAGTTAGCTAAGAAATAAATAACGCAATTTAAATGATCCATTTTTTTTTATCACTAACTTGTCATTCTTACTTTCACTAACCACACAATATAGTTGTAAATTTTTATAACAAATATTCAGCATAATAATTACGCTTGACTCGATGCTCTCTACAGTGTATGAAAAAATTTAATTACTTCTTCTGAAGCACGCTGCTGGAAGATTTATCAGTGTTGTTGCCAGTAGTACTGCGCATGGGCAGTTTTTTTCTTTAAAATCTTAAATGTCTATGACTGAATTAATTATTAAAGTTCACTTATCAGTGAGTGAAAGCTCTAAAACTTGTCTGAACGTCTCTTCTTCAAGAAGCCGACGTTCTTCCTCTTCTGCTTGCTGTTGCTTAGAAAGTCTTAATGCAAGTCTTAGTTGTTCTGCAGCACTCTCCAACGATTCACGGCCTTCTTCGTCGTCTTCTGCATTATTTGTTTCAGTCTCCCTGCTGCTACCACCGACAGTTTCTTGGTAAAGGGCTAAGCTTTCTTGAATGGCTCTAATTACAAATAAATTTGCGATTATCCTTCATTGTAATAATAATCGGTTGCAAGTAGTTGCTCGTATCAAGCGCTCAAAAATGTTTAAAAATTTGAGATACATTTTAAACATACAATAATCATGTTTGCCATGAAAAGCTTTGTAGAATAGTATACACTATATTAAAGTTCGATTAAAGCTTTACCTAAGTATTCAAAAAATGTATTTTACATAACATATTGTGCATTCATGTAACCTACCTGTCTGTAATTTTTTAATTTAACAGGACAGAAAACATGCAAATTGAGTAATTAAAACAGTGATTTTAACACCATAATATACATTTAAAGAAAATAAATGTCTGAACGTACCTTTGGAATAACTTTTCTTCTGTGTCAGTCATATTTGAGGAAGATCGACGAGATGGTTTTTGTGCGTTTAAAGCCTCCCATATATCAACCTGAATGTCAAAACAAATTATTGAGTATTACAATGCATAATCATTTGAGATCAGGTGTAATGATCTTAACATCTAACCTCATCATCGCAAACTTCTCGTTCGCCACCAGTATCAAGAAGACTTTGTTGAATCGCTATCTGCAATAAATCGTCTTCCTCATCAACACTAAATTGTGCGCGAACTTCAGGTCCTAATTTGACGTATCCTGCTGGGGCTTCAAAACACACGTCATCTAATAAACAAGTCAGTCGGTTCGCTTCTTCTAAGCGCCCGACATGCGGCACTTCTTGGTCTAATCCAAATATGTTTCCAAATGTTATTCGGGCATTTAAAATATGAAATAGAGGAATTTCTACAAGATAAAAAATGTACATGTAATTATAGACATTTAATGATTGAAGGAATAATAAAGCAAAACATAATTTTATTTTTTTTAAATACCAATTTTTACAGGAAATCCGGATGGTAATTGCATTTGTATAAAATCTTTCAATTTTGCAAAGTGTGAACTAGTTGTGGCCATTAAATCAACTATTGGCATTATTTGTTCTTGCAAACTAAGGGGATAGTCTTCACTAAGCCAGAGAGTGGCCTAAAGACAATAAATCTTTTTATGAGTACAAAAAAGATTCAAAATAATTTTGCTATAACAATTAAGAAAAAAAATACCTTGAATTTTTGCACTTTTGCATTGATTTCTTTTGGCCTACCAATATCTCTATTTTGTAAATCTACTTCAGGATCAAAATACTCCTCAGGTGTTATATTACATGGATTAGTTGGCTGGACTATAGATAATTCTTCCTGAAATGTTACCTTTCGATTAAACAACCATATATAGTCAATATAAAAACAAAAATATGTTTCAAAGTAAATAATAAATGTACTTTTTGAGTGTGAAAGACCAATGTAAAAAAGAAATATAATTACACTTGTTGCAGTGATTCCTTCTTGTTGCGAGGACTCAGCAATTCCAAGGAAAGAATGTAAAGGCGTTCTTTTTTCAAGTTGCTTTGCTCTAATTTTATCGGTTTCCGAGAGATGTTCTAAACGCGTTTTTGTTATTAATTCTACATTGCTAGCACTAAATACTTTACACTCATGTCCATTTACAACTTCACTTTTATCGGAACGCCATCCCCATAAACCTGCTTTATTCCTAAAAATAGAATATCAAGTATACATTATTAAATTAACCTCTTTAATTGTATATAGTCTTGTGTTATGATTGTGTATTTTCACCTTTCAAAACTAATCTTTTCTGTATCTATGTACGTTGTTACAATAGGATTGGTTAATCTTGCCATCACACCTTCTTCTGATGGTTCCATCAATTGTATGTTATCATCACCAATCAATTTCATATGTTCTACATAGACTTTTCTAGTTTCATGGTCAATTTCCATCATTGTAGCACCATCATCTGTAAAAATAATAATTATGTATAATTGATAAAAATAATAATAAACAATAAATTTAGACATTAAAAATAAAATTCATCATTTCATCTACAAAAGATATGTTCTAAAGCTTTGTTGTAGCTCTAAATAACATATAAGCATCAATGATTACCTAACGGTAAGAGTAAGTCTCTACATATAAGAAAAATACATATACTGTACAAGTTACAAAGATTCACCTGAATGAAACTTTTGAAGGCTGAACACATAACTGCGTTCACACCTAATAACGATGGGTGCTTGTTGGTCTAACAATTAAATAAATTGAATAGGCTCAAAATAAAAGTTCTAGATTAATTTTTCTTAATTTAAATTAATTAAACTCAAATAAAAAGAAACAAATGTGATTCATTTTGTGTTGTAAATATTTTGAAATAATACCAATACAATAGATATAATAAGATGCACATCAATATCAAGATAAATAACAATAAAACTCACTTTGCCCTTTGAACACATAACTACGATTTCCTTGTTGCCAGTTAGCGCGATCGAAACCTAGGAGAGTTGTGTCTATTCGCACATTACTGCCTTGTTTATATACTTTGTAAGTATCACTAGGACACGTTCGAGAAGCCAATGGTACTAAAAGTAAATAAACTTTTGAATTTTTAGTTTTTTATCATTGAAGACATTTCAATTTGAAAACTAACCCCAACTAGTAAACTCCCATTTCATCTCAACGTAAAAATCTGGAGCCTGAAAAAGTAAATGTTAATCTATATTTCGTATCACTAATAATTGTAAATTAAAATGTAACTGCTGAAAAACATACTTGTTTAAGTTTGTGAAGTAATTCAGGTATGCCAGCTACGCGACTGCAGTACCTCTGATAATCTCTTCTGGCAAGAACCATTTGTACAAGCTCTGGATTTCCAGTTCCAACAGCTTCTTGTACAACTGTTTGAAAAATAATTTATGCCAAAAAATTAAGTCATTAAATTCTTCTTTTATTTAAATTAATTTGGTTAAATTTACCACTCCATCCTTGCTTATTTTCCGTGTTAATATTAGCATCGTGTTGCAGTAAAACCCTAGATGCTTCAATATGCCCTAAAGTAACAGCTAACATCAAAGGTGTTCTGCCTCGATTGTCATGCAGCTCAATATCATGCTATAAAGATAAATAAAATTGAATTAAATTATCAAGACCTTGAAAATATCAGATTAAGCAAATGATTAGAGACAGACAAACAAAATGAATAAAATATATATATATATAAAGCATAATATCAAGAGGAAATGCACTTGCAAAGTTTCTTTCATCTGTGAGGCTTCATAACACTATTGTCTAATAGCTTAATCCTCAGATTTACTTTTGAAAAAAAAATGATCAATTCATTTTTTTAAAATACCAACAATTATGAATTTTCAGATGAAAATGTGTGTATATATTTCTTGAGGTGAAATAAATTCCCAAATGGTGAATCATCAGTTGAATGATAAACAATACAATTACTTTAACCCGCAAGTTTAAAGGACACTTTTTGCGTCAAAACATGTAAAATGATTAAAGAATAACTCATCAGTCATCCCCTATTCTAAACACAGCTTCTACGGTAGCCACGTACGTATTCTCCATAAAATAATTAACCTCATAGTAACAAATAGTAATTGGCGAAAAAGACCCACCTGCTTGGCAGCAAGTTCCTTATCAAGTTGTGCATGTTCGTTATTCCAGACGAGCCAGTGCAACGGATATTTGCTCTTGATCTCGTCTACCGTCACCATCGCGCTTTCACTCTGTTTCTTTTTCGCTTCTCACACTCTCAGCCCCTACCGCGTAGGCGTGTGCAGCACTTCACGAAAAAGCTGTTCACAAAATAATTTTGATAGTTGTCCGAACGATGCATGACACGCACCGCACCACTCCTTATCTAGCGATAAGGATGAAACAATACATGATAACACTTAACTCTGGACTTGCTCCGTTTTGTTGTTACTGAAATATAAAGACTCGCGAAACTAGGTGCAAACGACTGACACACAACACAACACACAACGGCGACAGCTCGCCGTACGGTTTCTCTTGCTCTACTCGCACACTGCACTATCTCGCCGTTCTCTTATATAGCCACGTTGTCTATTTGCTATCTCGCTCTTTCACACACGATGCATATATTATTTATATCCCTCTTTCACGCTTGAGCCTCGCCGCTGTAATGACATTTGTTAGACACGCTGGTCAGATTAGATTGTATTACGTGCACTTGCAACTATTGTTAGCTACATTATGTATGTAAATATATAACTGAATATAATTTCGATTTTTTTTTGCTCTTATTTTTTATTTCAATTTTAAAAATATTATTTCTTTCTCTATAGCTGTTTTGTTCAATTAGTAATTAATATACCTATAATATCTTAATGCGCGTTGTATAATATCTCAACATGTAGATCAGCAGCAGCGCCGATAAATTCATATTAAGGCATAGATTGAATTATAACAAAAAGGAGATAACATGTATCTATGTAGATACATAAAAGTATAAGAATTGAGCGTTTTTGTGTCAAAGTAATTAGAAATTTATTTAATAAGCTAATCTACTATTAGTTTTTCAATTGATTTTATTAAAGATGAATATTTTTAATGCAATAAAAAGCTACTATATTTATGTATAATTTATAGTTTAGCTCTGAATTCAAAAGCATTTATATAAATTTGAATAATTAAATTGCCAATTATTTAATTTGCATTCATAACATTGTATCTTACAATTTTTTTAGCAACATTTATAGAATCACTTTTACAATAAAATTCACGAAAAAATATTAATTATGATTTTCAAATTGTGTGTCGCTAACTTCAAAATAATAAAATTTAACTCGTTTTTTGCCAGATTATTATGGCAATAGTATTAGCGGCACTTCAGGCAGTTTCTTGAAAGTTGGTTGGACCTGGATTTTAGTACCGGGTTGACTGGTGGGAGTTTGGTTGAAATAACGAAAAGTACGTGTGTGCAAGAATGTCTCTCGTATGTGCAAGTAAGTTTTACTTATAATTAATGTATAATAAATTCGTATCACCTATGAACCTGCTACGAAAATATGATCATGCAGTCGGCTTCGAGAATGCTTAAAAAGTGTTGACTGGCATTGACTAACCTCTAAATTCGGCTATTTACAAGTACTTAATCTTACATAATAAACGCTTGTTTTAGTTTCAAACGAATTACCGGAGCATCCAGTTATTTCTCCTGTATCTGGAGCTGTCTTTGAAAGACGTCTGGTGGAAAAATACATAGTTGAAACTGGACAAGATCCTGTAAATGGACAGGAATTGACTATTGAACAGCTTATTGATATAAAGAGTAAGCCTTGTTTATCTGTGATGTGCTTTGACGTTTGTAACATCATTAATAATTTTTATACTATAGCTGCTCCTGTCAATAGACCAAAAGCACCAAGTGTAACTTCCATACCTGCAGTTTTGAAAATTTTGCAAGATGAGTGGGATGCAGTTATGTTACATTCTTTTACTTTGAGACAGCAATTACAAACGGCAAGACAAGAGCTTTCTCACGTTCTATATCAATTTGATTCAGCATGCAGAGTTATAGGACGCTTAACCAAAGAGGTAACAGCTGCTAGAGAGGCCTTAGCTACATTGAAGCCGCAAGCTGGTATTGCACAAGCTGCTACTCCACAACCTGTAAGTATTGAGACTTTTAAGTTTATTTTGATTTTATAAATATAAAAAAATTATATCTATAACTTTTAACATTGACTTTTTTTAATAGGCTATTGCAGCAGAAGCTGGAGGGGTAGCATTACAGCCAAGTGATGTGTGTGGTATTACAGATGACGTAATTCAAAAACTCCAAGATAAAGCGACAGTACTCACACAGGAACGCAAGAGAAGAGGACGTTCTGTACCAGAAGATCTTATAACTCAAGATAATATTCGTGCATTCCAAACATTTGCATCTCATCATGTATGTATAGAAACTTTTCAGAAGGGGTGTAAAAGTTCTTACTTCAGTTCACATTGATCATGATTTTCTTTTGTTTCCAGGGTCTTCACTCTGCAAGTGTACCTGGAATATTAGCTATTGACATTCATGCAGCTGATACAAGTAAAATATTAACAGGTGGAGCAGATAAAACTGCAACAGTATTCAACAAAGATAATGAACAAGTTATTGCTTCTCTAAAAGGACACACCAAGAAGGTAAAACCAATAAATGATTGCATATATCTCTTGATTATGATTGTTTGAACTACATTAAATATATTTACTTTCAAAGGTTACAAAAGTGGTATATCATCCAGAAGAGGATGTTGTTATGACAGCATCACCTGACACAACTATTCGAGTATGGAATGTTAGCACATGTCAAACTACACTTTTATTGAAAGCACACGATGCATCAGTTACTGGTCTTTCATTACACCCTACTGGTGACTATTTATTAAGTTCATCTTTGGATCAGTATTGGGCTTTCTCTGACATTCGAACAGGCAGATTATTGACAAAAGTAAATATGTAGATTAAATTGGAAAAAAATATATAATGATAATGTAAAAAAAAATATTTAAACATTGATTTTTTATATAGGTTGGAGGTCAAGGTAATCAACCACTCACTGCTGCTCAGTTTCATCCTGATGGTTTGATCTTTGGAACTGGTACAGAAGACTCACAAATAAAAATTTGGGATTTGAAAGAGCAATCTAATGTTGCCAATTTCCCAGGACACTCTGGTCCCATAAGTGCAATAAGTTTCTCAGAAAATGGTTATTACCTAGCAACAGCAGCTGAGGATTCATGTGTAAAACTATGGGATTTGAGAAAATTGAAGAATTTCAAAACATTACAATTAGAAGACAATTACGAGGTCAAAGATTTGTGCTTTGATCAGAGTGGTACCTACTTGGCTGTTGCTGGTAGTGACGTCAGGTAATGAAAATTCAATACATAAATTCAGTAAAAGCTTCTATAATTGAAATATCTTTATTTACATAATTATTTTACTCTTCAGGATTTATTTATGCAAACTATGGAGTGAACTCAAAGTATTAAATGACCACACAGCTTTAGCTACAGGTGTCAGGTTTGGCAAAAATGCTCACTATATAGCTTCCACAAGCATGGATCGAACTTTGAAGTTGTATGGATCTCTTTAAAATAATGTAACTGTATTGTAAAATTTATTTTAATCAAATGAGCATAAGAAAAGTTATGAATGTAACAATTGGTTAGAGTATATAATTTTCTACAGCCTATTATAGTATGCGTGTGTTATGAATTTTATAAAAAATGTATGTAATTCCTTCTTGAATCAATTTAACATACATACTTGTGTACAAAAAAACAATAAACATGTAAAAGTTTATAAAATTAACAGTCATTTTTCTATATTCACTTGTAATACTTATACTTATAAAATATGCTTTTTCATAAAAATTAATTTTTATTAACTGTATGCTTGCAAGTATGTTTAGCTGCTGTATTATATACATATGACTACAACTCCTTTCTCTTCAGTACATTTATTTTTAAATAACTTGCAAATTATATTCATATCTTATCTTGTTTTTAAATTTGAAAATAGGGAAATGTCCTTAATTCTTATTAAATGATTGCGGAAACATTATAGCTTATCTAGGTGTGATAAGATGAGATAAAAAAATTAAAGATATGCCATCGAAAATATATACTATTAAAAATAAAAACGAAATCAGAACTTAAATTTTGTGCATAAACATACATCCATCTGCACGTTACTATTAGTAGACATCTATATACCTGACGACGTTGACGCGGGAAAGTTCAGGGGTTCCGCCGGGTGGTGTTGGCGCTGTCAGCTACTGTTCTGGGATTGCCCGTGCAGCCCGTGCAGCACCTGACGTCAGAAAAGAAAAGACAAACATAGAGCTATTACAGTGTAACGTGCGAGAAAAAGATAGACGTAGAGAAAATAACCGCAAGGGGGCCGCCAAGATGGTTGTCAATGTTGATAAGTGATATTTGACTATGCGCGTTCACAACCGACTTGGCAAGGAATACACAGCACTCGACTAGCTGTTGCAAAATCATGTGCATAGAAACAATCCGCCTATGGTTGCTATGATATAAAAACAGTTATTGTACGCGTGTTGAAAGTGCATCACGAAGACGACGACGACAACGGTGGTGGCAGTGGCGACTACAACGACGACGACGACGAAAACAGCGAGAAGGAGGCTCCTCGAGCTATGGCAGATACCGAGGATGCCGAGCAGGAGATTCGTAAGGCACTCATCGTTATCCAGTCGATGATCGACATCTCCGCGGAGCGACTAGAGGGCCTTCGAACTCAGTGCTCCACCAGTGCCGAGCTAACCCAGCAAGAGATCCGCACTCTCGAGGTTCTTACAACTTTCTCTCTTGTTGTTACCTTGGCGCTTGTTTTCTATTTAGTTAATCATCTTCTTCAATTTTGTATTGATTCAATGGTTAAGTTTAAAGTGTACAGCCTAATTCTGTTATTGTTACTACAAATTGCAAGATTAACAAATGTTAAAAGATTTAGGAGCTATTTTTATTGAAAGTGCTATTTAATTAACTATTCAAGCTAATTGACATAAAATAAAATCAATTCTCTTTCAAGGTATTACCACCCCAAGCTTTTTCTATTTGCATTTCAATTTATGTTTTCTATGTGTATAATCTTCAGAAGAATTTTATACTTTGCAAAATACTTGTTTTTATCTTTTGTCAATATTTTGAAGCAGTCAAATTTCAAATTTAACATTTAACTTTTGAGTGATAAATAGGCTCACATTGTAATGAACAATACTTTCATATTTGTAAAGAAGCAGTATTTTGAAATATGTAAAAAATTCATAAACAACTTTGTTGTTTTAAATGTTATAGTTAGAAAGTTTTTGGCTTTACCATGTTTACACTTATACATGCTTTATTGTTGATGACTGAGTATTCTCATTTTATGTTTTACAATGTTCTCAATTGTTTTCATTATTAGAGAAATTAATAAGTTATTATAAAAATAAAAGTATATAGAAGTATCATTCTTTTTTCAAATTATAGATTTCTATTTTATTCTGTTTATTGTTATATTTAAACAAATTATTTTTCAATTGTATTACAGGGAAAGCTAATAAAATTATATTCAAAGCAACTTGTCTCCAAAGCAAAACTTGCTATTGAATCGTTACCAGCAGAAATGAGACAATACCCATCTCTGCAACAATGGCTTACAGTTGTAGGTCTCACACAAGAATCCATACAGGCATGTACAGTTACATTGACCTTGATTCAAGTGACTTATAACTTGTGTCTTAACTTCCATTCCTTATTTGTAGATGGTTTGTTCAAAAGCTAACTCTTTAGAAGCTTTAAAAGAAAAGTCTGAGCATGAATTAGGTACAATGCTGGGTGAAAATAATATTAAGCATGAAGAAGAATTACGTAGGTTATGTAGAGCACTTCACAATCTTCGACGCTACATGGGTATACAATCCCTCAATAATATACAATCTTCTTATATTATTTAGCCTTTTTGAGTCTTTTAAATAATGTATATTTTTGTAATATTTCTTATTTCAGATGCACTGAGTAGGGGTGATACAGATAATAGTGATATGAATCTATATTGGGATTCTTGGGACAGACATCATATGAAGAGTGGTCCTTCACCTAGACCTATTCGTTCTCGGGCTACCAGAAGTTCTGTACCTTCCGAAGATAGCATTCCGTACAATAATAATAATAATTTCAACAGTGATATGTTAGCTCAAGCCTCTTCTGTTGCATCTTTATCATTGTGTACTAGTCCACCATCTACTCCTCTATCATTAAAAAATCATAGTTAGTATAAAAATAAAATTGTTTTCCTTGACAATTTCAAAATTTTATCAGTTACTGGTATTAAAGCAAAATATACGAGTGTTATTGAAAAATTTCATATTTTCAGCTTTGGGATTGAAATTTCCTACAACTCCTCCACCATTAAAAAGACCACCATCAGGCCCAGAAGAATCTCTACAGACTGAAGTGTATTCATTGTCTAAGTCAAAATCACATGAATCACAATTAGCAAATCGGCTTGAAAATGGTGAAACAACTTCTAGGTAGGGATACAATTCATATATAGTCAAGTTATCACGTTAAAATACAACGTGCATTAATTTTTTTTTTAGTTTTGCCAATGAACAAGGAGCAATTGTAGGTAGGAGAAGTCGGTTACCTACGGAACCTGGTTCATACAGTGGTGCCGATATTATTGGTGATAATCTGTTACCAAACAGTAACAGTCCTATCAAATCTCCTCCTTATTCCAGTGCTGATAGCGATGATAATAGTTTTAAGGGAACAGGTAATTGAATAAAAACATATTACTTAAATTCCGGAAGATATAAAACGATTGAATTTATAAAAAATGGATATTTTTCAGTGACAAGTCTTCAAGTGCCAAAGTCTCCAAGGACGCCAACGGTAACTCGCGGTATGGGTCACGTTATCAATCACCGATTTACGAAAACTTTCAAAATGATGACAACTTGTGATTATTGTGACAAACAAATGTTTCTTGGAAGTGGTCTTAAGTGTAAAGAGTGCAAGTACAAGTGTCACAAAGAGTGCGAATCGAAAGTGCCACCATCATGTGGCTTGCCGCAAGAACTTATTGATGAATTTAAAAGGACTTTGCAAGCTGACGGTAAATAGTATAAATGGAAATTACCTAGTGTATATTCCGAATTTTATTTTAAACTCGTTCGTTTGATAGTTTATTAATATCTTAAAATGTCTCATTTGAAAATTCATTAATATAGAAATCAAATTAAAAATTTATACAAAAAAGAAAACGTAAATCGAAATTACATTTTATGGAGTATTCGCGGTAAACCATAGAAATTCTGGAAATGCATTCGTAACTTCGATTTATTGCACTAAACAATCTTTATTGACAATAATTAAATGTAAAATACATATGAAACATACATATTTAATATTCATACGATTAGGTTGTCTAATGTTTCATGTACCTAATATTATCGTAACTTTGGTAGGTATGGTAAGCGTTTCTCCGATCCTAAATAAAACAGTTATGTCGCCGAATCATCAAACTCTACTGATTCGGCGAGATCGAAAAAGGTCACATCCACATCCATCAATGACTACGGCTTTTCAGGTATGATCCGTATCAATCATCTCCTTATCATTTCACCATTCATTTAACAACTTATTGAAAAATATGGTGCAGTAATCATTAGTTGTTTGACGAACATACAATTTATTATTTTATTTTTACTAAAATGTATTTTTTATAATTTTATTGATTTTCAACGGGTTTTTTTTATCGCAATAAGTCTACTTATAAAAATGCATCTTAAACTGGCCAGATTGAAAACGTTAGCATCTGTCTGATATCGATATGTTAATTCGTTTGAAAATAGCTGTGCCATGTTGTTTTCAAGGCTTGAGTTTTATTTCACGCTTACTAAATTATTTTATTGACATTAAACACACTAGAAACGTCGTAACGCCTCATCCAGTTTACAAATTCACTTTTGGCATACTAAATATACGTGCCGTTACCAGGGTGCTGACTCTAGTTCAAATACCTCGAGCTGCAATAGCTCAACACCTTCTAGTCCTGCGTTGTTACCTGCCAATGCTAACCAAACTCCCCAGGCGCCAGTTAAACAACAGTTCCACTTTCCAGGTACACTTTATCTTCGCTGCAACAACAAATTAAAAACTATTGTCTTTTAAACCACTTGGTACGATTGATTTTAATAAATTGTAGACGTAACGTCTAATGATAAAGGCATCACACTGGAAACACATCGACTGGATGGTACAATGTCTAGCGATAGTGATCGAACAGTGAGTGTTTCTGGATCTGGTAGCGTCAGTACAGATTCAGAAAGAACCCCTATTCGAGTTGACTCGCAAGATTCGCAAGTATCGGATGGAGAACCAGGAGACAGTCGATGGCCAAGGCAAAATAGTGTATGTTTTCAATTTATTCTTGTAACTTTTGTTTGCAATATCGTCATAAACATAGATTCACAAAATTTGTTTGCTCTAGCTTTCAATGCGCGAATGGGACATTCCTTATGATGAACTGAAAATCGGAGAATCTATTGGTACTGGTAGGTTTGGTACAGTGTACAGAGGCAATTGGCATGGTGATGTAGCTATTAAGGTGTTAAATATGGACTATTATTCTGACGATGATAAAACTCTTGAAGCATTCAAATTGGAGGTACGTATGTATTTAGCGACTGAAAACTTTACTTCTCCAATAAATATATTCAAAAGTACAGATTGTAACATAAATCTTAATTGTTTTAAGGTCGCAACATTCCGTAAAACAAGACACGAAAATTTAGTTTTATTTATGGGAGCTTGCATGAAGCCCCCACGCTTGGCAATAGTGACTAGTATGAGTAAAGGCATGACTCTTTATACTCATATTCATTTGCGGAAAGATAAATTTACTATGAATAAGACTACCATTATCGCACAACAAATTTCTCAAGTAATTCTTGATTTCACACCATTTGTCTTCTACCGTTTTTACGATCAAACTTCATTAACACGTGTTTTTTATTTCTTTTCAGGGAATGGGGTATCTTCATGCTCGCGGAATTGTTCATAAAGATCTCAAAACTAAGAACATTTTCTTAGAAAACGGAAAAGTTGTAATTACAGATTTCGGTTTATTTAGTGTTACTAAACTTTGTTATGGCAACAGGTAAGTGTTTCGATTACTATGATATTATTTTCAATTTTATCATGGACGTGCTTCACGTATTTTTATACACTTGACAGGAAAGGTAATGGACTGAATATATCTCCTGGATGGTTATGTTATTTAGCACCTGAAATTGTGAGAAGATTAAAACCTCAACAAAACAGAGATCAGGAAGAATTACCTTTCACAACGGCAACGGACGTTTATGCCTTTGGGTAAAAATCTGCTTTGAAATTAAGCTCTTTTAATGTATACTCATGAATTATATAACCTTTTCAATTTCAATTTCAGAACTGTGTGGTATGAATTATTGTGTGGGGAATGGCCATTCAAAGGTCAACCTCCAGAAGCCATCATTTGGCAAGTAGGGAAAGGAATGAAACAAACATTGGCAAATTTACAGGCCTCGCGAGATGTAAAAGTGAGTAAAATAATTCTTATACTTAAAGTTGAATACAAAAGATTTTTAACGACGCCAAAATTAAATACTAAATTTTTTAACAGGATATTTTGATGCTTTGCTGGTCGTATCATCCCGAAAACCGGCCAGATTTTGCAAAGCTGTTGACTACACTTGAAAAGCTACCTCGTAAAAGGCTAGCTCGTAGTCCTTCTCATCCCATTCATCTTTCTCGTTCTGCGGAATCAGTGTTTTAAATACACTTTAAGTCTATTTAAATACGACGCTGTTCTTGTAGTATATATGTATGTGTGTGTATATATATGTATATATATATATGTATATATATATATATATATATAGCACTGTGAATTATCGCCTGATCTTTGTTCATAAAAAAATTAAATAAAAATAATATGAAACAATTCAAATACACTTGCAGTTTACTCAACAATATAAACTTTATCTATATCAAACCGGCATTGTCATATTAAGTTGAATCGAACAATACTTAGAACTTATAATTTAATTTATCAGTCATACTTATAGAAATAAAGAAAAATATTTAATAATACACACAAGTGCGGAAAAGTTGATTCTTGTCTTGTGTGGCGTTTATACTAGAGTGAAGCGAACTATTCCTGCACTAGTTAGGTAATGTATTATTTAATATCTTTAGTAACACAAACTTCAGTTAATAACTACTATGACGATTCTTCTATTTGCTTTCTCAACTTTTTGATTTCATTTTTAAGATATTCAATCTGTATATTGTTGGACTTCAATCTTTTAGAAAATGTTTGTACTAGTGGTTTTGTAACTATATCTGTTACATGCTCCAATGCTCGTGTTTGAACTGGAAATACATTTCATTTTAATACTAACTTACTAACGTTGATTTTTGATACATTGATTGTATACATATTAAATATACTACCTGCATTGTTGTGAATAGAAATAAGTATATCTGGATGATTTTTGCAGTCTGCAGCCATGTCTTCTTCTTCTTGTGCTAAAATTTTTGGGAGTTCTGTCATAGTCTGGAAAAATTTTAAATATGATGAAAATGAATTTATTATTAACAAAAATTAAAAGAGGTTATATTTACTTTTGCACAATTGAGAGAAATATCAGGCACATGTGTTATTTCAAGTGGAATCTCTTTAGACTTTCCATCTTTAGACTGAAAACAAGTTAGCAATACTTCTTGTTCCTAAAAAAAGCAACTGCAATTATATATAAACTATTAAAACAAAAAAATTTCATTCTTACCTTTGTATTTTTATCTTCTGAAAATACTGAAAATATCAGTCCAACAAATCTTGGATCCATAGTTTGATACATTCCTTGTGTTCTCACATCTAAAAATATCAACATTCATTTGTTATAATGATTTATTATTTACTTATTACTCTGTAATTATTCTGTAAGTAAAGCAAATAATTTATTACCAACATGAGATGGATTGACTGTTATGTGTGGATGTGAATGATACCAGCCAACTACCCTCATTTCTCTTTCCAATTCTTCTGACAAACGTTCAGCTTCAGCAGTAGCCATGTATAATTGTTCTGATGATATTTCAACTCTATCCTTTTTTTTGTCAGAACGTCTTAAAATTATTACAGCTGATATTGTTGTAACACCATCAATATGCTAAAAAATAGATTATTTAAGCTATTATGTAACAATATTTAGTAGAAAAAATAAACAAATTCTGATAAAAAACTCACTCCACCGATAAGCAGACCCATCACTTCAAAATTTTCAGTAGACAAAACATGTTGCAGGCAGACCATGTAGGCATCAGCTTGCAATTCAACCCTTTGTAATTCGTAACTCATTTTTAATATTCACAGAAAATCACGAAAAAATATAATTTGTTTAGTCTGTAAATTTATTCCAAGAATATTCTTATATTTCACAAAAACCAATTAGGATAACTCTAATTTAAAAACTCTAGTTTAATAAATGTCAACTTTTCTCATGTGACGTAACATTTTTTTCTAATAAATCTATATCAATTCTTATCCTTCAACAAATATAAAAGTAAAATTAAAAGAAAATTTCGCAATCTGTTCTAGCCGACGTCAGGATACAAAATTTCAATTGTCCATACTCCATAACCTAGTCGAATACATACAGAGGGAGATTGTGGCTAAGTCGTATTCGTTATTCGCAGCGCTGGTCATTCGTTGCAATCGCAGTTCTGCCAATACTAATTTCAAAAATGCGCGAAAACCATAGTAACTATATTTATAATTGTTTGTTTGAAATCTAGAATAAAAAGCTATCAAGCAGATTGAAATCGAATTACCAAATGACAAGAACATAAAATTAAGTAATTATGTCAAAAATAATTTATCTAAATAAAAAAATTGATTGAAATATCGTGTCGAAATCGTCAAAAGTTTCTGTAATTTTTTCCACCTTGTGTTGCCCTCTTGAACGTTGTGCGTGGTAAATGTAAATTCCCTAGAATCTTGACACGACTCTTCATAACCCCAGCAGTGTCTCAGTCTCAGAGTAGCCAGCAGAGACAGGGGACAGCTTGCTGGGTAAATAGTGAACGTGAGTGCGGGCATGAACGATCAACGACGACGTGTGCACGCATACTTGTAACTCTTTCTCGCCCTCAACTGAAAAGCGAGTAGACGAGAGGATATTTGATCGAAATAAGAGCACAAGGCTAGGCTCTACTGTTTAGTGAATGCGTGCTGTGCGTGTGTGGTGGTAAAGAAAGCGTCGTCGATAAGGGAATAATCCTAGCTCGATCTGAATTGAGAGTAAGTATAATCGAAAGCGTGCAATGCCAACCGTGAGGAGAGAGAGCGATGAGTCAAGATAGCCAAGCAAACGAAGCGTGCGTGGTGTGCCGAGAAAATCCGCGCGGCGCGCGCGACAGATCCAGTTTGTTCCGGATTGCGGCAGCGAGGCCGACTGTGCGGATTTTCTCCTTTCTTTTCTCTCTCTCTCTCTCTCTCTCTCTCTCTCTCTCTCTCTCTCTCTCTCTCTCTCGCTCTCTCTCTCTCTCGCTCTCTCTCTCTCTCTCTCTCTCTCTTGCTCTCTCTCTCTCTCTTGCTCTCTCTCGCTCTCTTGCTCTCTCTCTCTCTCTCTATATATATATATACATATCTCTCTCTCTCCCTCCCTCCCGTCTCATCCTCCTACTTACCAAAAGCGCCTTCTTACGTTTCATTTTTTCAAATGTGTGCTTTGCAGGTGACGGCTGCTGCTGCTTCTCCTGCTACTGCTATCTGACAACGTCGTCGGCGAGTCTTGGTGGAGGCGCGGCCGTGACACGCGCGCGCACAGTCCAACACGCAAGAACTGAGTGAGAGTGAGAGAAAAAAAGCGATACACACGCTACTTTAACGGGACCCTCGTCGAGGACGCGCCAAAGATATCGTCATGTCCAACGAGGAGACCTCCGCCGATCGCAATGTCGAAATCTGGAAGATCAAGAAGCTCATCAAGAGCTTGGAGATGGCAAGGGGGTAAGTTGATATTTGTACTTATTTTGGAATCAGGCATTTTGGTATCGGATTTTTAAATCGGCCATATGTTTCGCGATAGACCAGTTTTTTCCTTATTTTTATTACGAACTTGCATCAAACACGTGGATCACTATCTACTGTAGGGTTATGAACGGATTTTGCGTTGGCGGAATGGCACTTGAATTATTCAGTGTAAGGCTCTGCAGTAAGAGGAAATCACTTATAATTTCTGTATAATGCAATTTTTTATTTGATGCATGCTAACTTTTCTTGTTGCAATGCTATTCAGTTTCAATAAACTCCTTTTTACTGCCTAATATAATTATTCGTACATGTTATCTTGAATACAAAACAAATTCTAATTCATTGGGAAAATCCAAATTAATGTGTAGTAGATCTATATATTGTGGAAAATTATTAGTTTCTATTTATTTATGCATATAGGAATGGAACCAGCATGATTTCATTAATCATTCCACCAAAGGATCAAATATCTCGTGTAAGCAAAATGCTGGCTGATGAATTTGGTACAGCATCAAATATCAAGTCTCGAGTCAATAGACTATCCGTCCTGGGAGCCATCACATCGGTACAGCATAGGCTAAAGCTTTATACCAAAGGTACCTTAAGGTCTTTTTATTCTAATCTCTGTTATACTTGTGACATTATTTATAAATACTTATGTCACAGCACAAATATATTAGTTTTTTAATATACCTCTTTGAGGAGATGTTCTATCAAATTTACACTTAAAGAAAAACCATTATACATAAAAATTTGCAGTTTACTTAAAAAAATCATAGTCATCCCACCTTCTCTAAATCTTGAACTACCTGGGATGTCCTTCAATTTTGTCAAAAACCAAATATTGTGTAAAAATAATAAAATTGCATTACGCCTTTATTAGAGGATCTTTATATCATGCAATTTTTTAATCATTGATGCTAGTTTAATATGCATTTTTATTCAATTATTGATTTTATCTTGCATGTACTATAATTTAAAAAATGACATAAAACATAATACTCCATAAAAACTTTTCATTTAATTTTACTTTGCAGTACCTCCAAATGGCCTGGTAATCTACTGTGGCACAATTGTCACTGAGGAAGGAAAAGAAAAGAAAGTGAATATAGACTTTGAACCTTTTAAACCTATTAATACATCTTTGTATCTTTGTGACAATAAGGTATATTTTTTGGTATGATTTTTTTTTTATTTAAAAATTGTAATTTATCAACATTATTTTATTTCTAGTTTCACACTGAAGCATTGACAGCGCTTCTAGCAGACGATAATAAATTTGGTTTTATTGTTATGGATGGTAATGGTGCACTATTTGGTACACTACAAGGAAACACAAGAGAAGTTCTTCACAAATTCACTGTTGATTTACCGAAAAAGCACGGTATGATTATGAGCATATTAAATATACATTTAAATATACATTTTAAATATACATATTATCTTTTTTTGGTTAAATCCACTTCAACAATCATATATTCATATATCTGTGTATTTAATTAAAAATCGCATTTATCAAGGCAGTAATCAGTAATGTAATCAGTACTAGTTATTCTGTATAGTTATTTTCGGTGCGCGTTTGTTTATTACATTCATAGCCAAAGTAATCGTAATTCTTATAGTATGATCCAAAATGCATTTATTGGAACGAATTCTAATGTCGTCTCAAGTTGATATAATATTTCTCTAAGTTTGATTATTTTTTTATTATTTATAGGCAGAGGAGGTCAATCTGCTCTTCGTTTTGCTCGGTTGCGTATGGAAAAACGTCATAATTACGTACGAAAAGTTGCTGAAGTAGCGACTCAACTTTTTATCACTAACGATAAGCCTAACATTGCTGGTTTAATTCTTGCTGGTAGTGCAGACTTCAAAACTGAGCTTAGTCAGTCCGACATGTTTGATCCTGTAAGTTAATTAAATTGTTTAATTATCTGTTCACATAATATCTACATTAATCATATAAAACAAATTTTTACAGAGATTGCAAGCTAAAATTATTAAATTAGTGGATGTATCTTATGGTGGAGAAAACGGTTTTAACCAGGCTATTGAATTAGCAGCAGAATCATTACAAAATGTTAAATTTATTCAAGAAAAGAAGCTCATTGGTAAGTTGATTTTTTACGTGTTTTTATCAACTCAACCACTATACAATTCAATTGTTGCATAGGTCGTTACTTCGACGAAATTTCGCAAGACACGGGGAAATATTGTTTCGGAGTTGAAGACACGCTGAGAGCACTTGAATTAGGTAGTGTGGAAACGTTAATTTGTTGGGAGAATCTCGACATTCAAAGATATGTACTCAAAAATCATACGACTGGCGAGGAAAAGGTACTTCACCTGACGCCAGAACAGGAAAAGGATAAGACTCACTTCACAGATAAAGAGGTTATTATTGCATACATTGCATGTGGTTGCGCATCGTAAAAATACAACACGATGTTTATAAACTATCTCTAATTTAGAGCGGAGTAGAATTGGAATTAGTGGAATGTCAGCCCCTGCTAGAATGGCTCGCAAACAACTACAAAAGCTTTGGTGCGACTCTAGAAATTATTACAGACAAATCTCAGGAAGGATCGCAATTTGTCAGAGGGTTTGGTGGTATTGGAGGTTAGTACTGTTTTGTTTTAAAATGCTGGTAGTTTATATTTATTATTAAAATGGCAGTGGTCTTATTAAATTCATTTTTCTGTCAAAGAATTCGGTAACTGTAGTCGAGTGTGTTTTATAGTACTTGGAAAAGTGAATTGCTTTATCTCATAGTTAAATTTATTGATAAGAAAATTGAATTTAATAAAAAAGATAAATTTATCTTTAATTTTGAAATAAGAAAACAGATGTTAATACATCAGATATTTTTCGGTATAGGAATACTCCGCTACAAAGTCGACTTCCAGTCATTGCAGGCTGACGAGCCTCTCGATGACGTCGATCTCGATGATTATTAAATTCGCGTCTCTGTCGTTCGGTCAGAGTCGACCAGGTAGTTCTCTATGATTATTCAAGTGCGCTACTTCGCTCTATTCGTTATTTATTATTTTAATATTTCTATCATCCTTCGTATCATAATTTATTATCTGCATTCTTCATATACAAACTTCTTGCTACAATTGTAATTTCATGGTTTATATTTTCATTTATTTTCGAAACATCAATGTTCTTTTGTTATTCATCAAAATTTATAAGTCTACAGTATTTATGTCAAAACTTTGATATTTGTTAATAATGTAGTTTAGTTGTTTGCCGATTTGAATTTTTATTCTTCTTTATTTTTTATTGACTCTAGTATTTCTTTTTAAGTCAACACAAAAAGAGATAAAGGATGTCAACATTTTTATCAACAAAATATTCTAATGATTTATATATTTGCATGTCTTCATTTATTACTTGCACTCTCATATTCATTTTTGTAGAGCCGTCAATGATAGGACGAAGATCATCATTTGTCCTCTCTTTTATGACGTTGCACGCTTATCGTAATTTCGTATTTCAGTTCTCTTAAATTATATAATATTTTTATTTGATTCTTTATTCAGAATCGTTTAGTCTGCATGTGATATGATTGAAAATATTATCAAAAAAACCGTTGCTTTCTTAGTTTAAAGACTCATAGTCATAGTCATTTTGGTACATTTTCGCAAATAAAACATACGTATTATTTGCGATTCACATTACGTTTCATCTAACAAGTTCTTCAGTCAATAATACCAAAATTACTATAATTTATTATTTTTTTGTATTGTATCCAATTGTTACTTAATATAACACGGGAAGAGATAGGTAGTTTAATGTTATTGTTATAATTTTTGTCAGCTTGCACAATGGAAATTAATAGCCCAGAAAATGTAAGAGTGCAAAGCGAAATGCTTCCTCAAGTAGTTGATATAGTGAACTTAAGAAGATAAAGGTATGAATCGATAATAATTTTGGTAAACTGGTTTTTACAGGTATTTTGCGGTACAAGGTAGATTTTCAAAGTATGCAGCTGGAAGAGTTTGAGTTTGATAACTTCGACTACGACGACTATTAAATTTATCGGACTCCAGTTTTGGGTGTTTATTTCGGGCAAATACATGCAGAATGATAAAGTTGAATAGAAAAAAAATAGGAGCAGCCACAGACTACGTGAATAGTATCAAGGAAACAAAATGAACCGCCGAACGCGCGCCGACACGTCACCTCTTTCTCTCCATCATTCCAAAGTGAAACGAAGTTTAAGATAGGATCAAAAAAAGTACTTCTATTTTTTTCTATAGAAAAACGAATGAAAGAAAAAATGTGGTTCTGTGAACTTTCCAATACTACGAAGGATCGAGAGAAAGAGACAATATTGGTGCTGTGCAGTAAATAATAAAAAATGGAGTAATTTAAAAAAATTTATAACAGTCTGTGCTTGTGAGTCAAAGACTCGATCGTGGAAGACTGCAACAACTTAAACTAAGTAACAAAAAAGCCAGCTTGAAGCCTGCCTATGACGTTGAATTGACGACCCGCCCCCGTCGCATTTTCTATCGTAACGTTGACTCGTCGTCGAGGCTGCTCTGAGACTCGTTGAACACAATTAACGAATAATAAAAAATCAATAATATTTAAACAAGTTTTATAAATTAGTATGAATTGATGAAAGTTCTTCATACATCCAGACCCTCGTATTAGTTTACTTTATTGTTGCAATTCTATTAATATTAATAAGTAACTGTGGGAAATGAATTCTCTCTTTCTCTCTCTCTCTCTCTGTCTCTCTTTCTCTTTCTCTCACTCTGTTTCTTATTGTTTTTCGTGCTTTATTCTTTTTTAAAATCGAATTAAAAACTGTTGGTTAATGAATTTAATTGATATCTTCTCGAAGCCTGTAATATCAATTTTTCCAGCAGTGGTAGATGCTGCATGAGGCAGCCTTGACGAAACCGGTCGACCTGCCAAGCGTTACCTCTGTTCTTGTGGAGAAACGTGGACGAAATGTAATAAACTGATTGCTATTACCGAAATGGTGTACAATATTAAGATACTTTGCATAAAAAACAATGTTACATAATTTAAAGAAATGAAAAATATTGAATTAAAAAGAAAGAATTTTAAATATGAATGGTTTTTTGTGATTTGTTGACGCAGTTTTATACCCTTTCATCCTTAACAATGTAAATTATTTTAAAGAAATTGATTAATTGAATCATGAATAAGAGAATGTGTATTTTAACCATAATTTAACGTTATTTATTTGTGTTTCAACAGCATACACATTTATCCAGGAAAAAGGCAGTTTTTTAACAGTTTAAGCTTAACAAGTAAAAAAATCTTCACATTTAAAAAATGATACTCTAGTCTGGTACTACTAAATCAAGATTTGCATCTGTTGTAACAGATCCAATGTATTTTTCTTCTCCGCCTCTTATACACAGTTTGGAGCTTGCAATCTCTGTTCTTCTCTCATCCATCATAGCGGTTTTTATCCATTTGGAGCTTGCGCATCTTTTGCAAGTTTCTGTAGGTATTCTATCAAGGGTGACAGTTCTATATCGGCAGTCAGCGCATTTGAAAAATCTCTTTACTGCGTCAATAACTTTGATGGGATGTTGTAACTTTTTACATAAATCAGAGCTCGAAAATGCAACGTATTTGCAAATGACGCATCGTACGGCTTTGCAGTCAACTTTGTATGTGCTCAACATTTTCTCCTCCATTCGTTCCTTTACTTCTAACTTTTTGAAATATTCATCAGTTTGTTCATCTTCTCTTTTTTCTATAAGGTCAGAATGAGTTGACTTCATTTCAAGCATCTTTTGAAATCTATTTATCACAGGATTTGCTTTTTTTGCAGATCTATTATGTGTCACTGCTTCAGCTTCTGTTTCTTCTTCATCTCTTCTTCTTTTCAATCCTTTTTCAGATGCAGCTGCTTTATCTGGGCGAACTTTATTAGGATTAGTTTTTTGAAAACCACCAACTTTTCTAGATAATTCAATAGCTTCTAATTTTGCCTTATCTCTAGTATTCTTATTTATAGGTTCTGAAAAGTCAATTATACCATTTTTCATTCCGTTTCCTAATTTTGGAGTTGAGAGACTTAACTTGAAATTTGGTTTCTTTTCTTCGTTGATGATTGAACAAGTACTTTTATTAATTGTACTCAATTGGCGCAATTTATTCAATCTTTCAAAATCTTTTTTAACTTGTTGAGGTGTCAATTCAACATTTGCTGTTTTAACTTTAGGTTTGGGTATTTGGGTTATTAATGTTGATGGAGTACCTCCCCTCAGTAAAGCCAATCGCTCGCAATCTTTCTTATAAAGAGCTTCATTTCTTTTCGCTGGAATAGCAAGAAAAGGTTTAGCTTCAGGATGTCGTTGCTGCATTAATCCCATCTGTTTAAGTGAATTTTTTACATTTCCAAAAGATTTTTCTCCTAACGAAATTTGGAATTCACTTCTCTTAGAAAATTTTCCATACTCTTGTTTTATATGATAAACACAATATTCACAAATACTCAAGTTTACTGGAGCTGTGCAAGGTTCACCATTTTTTTTTACTGACTTACATTTTCCTAAATCTTTTGATGTTCCTAAAACCATAACTTTCATAGGATTATCAACTGACAATGTAGCTAAGTCTTTGTCATCTCTAGATTCTAGGACTGATGGATTTAAAATGCCAACAACACTTCCAACATTCAATTTCCAAAAAGTCTTGTAAGCACCACTAAAGAGAAAAACTGTAACAGCTTTCATATCTGTGGAAAGGTCAGATAGCTTCCAAATGCAGTATTGACTACCTTTTTGAGATGTCTTAGTTGCACTTTTACTAAGCAGAACTCCAGCAATAACCCAATCAGTGTTCTGATCACTATTAGATTGTACAGTTAAATGTAATTTCACATTTGACACTGTGACTGCTTTTCGTCCATTCATTCTTTCTGTTAATTCTGCAGATGAAACTAGAGGTTTTATAATTCTCAACCCAAATATTGGATCACAGTAAACATCTTTTTGTTTGGGAATAAGTGGGCTACTTTGAACTTGTAAACTGTATTTACTATTTGTTCTTGTCGCTGAATTAAAATTACTTGATAAAGATGAACTATTACTAGTAACATTTACTGGAACATTTTCTTTTTTAAAATTTCTAAGAAAACTCTGATCAGCTTTTTGAGATTCTCTATTTTTCAACAATTGTTTAATTTCTTGTCCATATTCAGAATAACTTTGCTTTTCAAAATACTTGGCATCTTCGTCATCAGAAGAATTTGCATGATTATCAACAATTGATGTCTTGTCAATGTTTGCTTTTGGAGTTACAATCTTGGGAGTCTCATCTTCAATAACGTAAGAAGAGTCATCAAGAAAACTATGATCAAGTTCCTTTAATACATGCGGTTTAGATTGTTGAGTTGTGTTATCTTTATGAGACTTTGCACTGTCATCTGCATTACTTACTAATAAATTAATAAGATCGTCGTCAGATTCATCGCTACTCATTGTTACTTTTGTCGACTACAAAACCATTAATCCCTAAAATCTGCAATCGAAAAAATACGATTGATATGAGTTTCTGTACATTTTTTTATAATTCTGATGTGTTAACTATGAATTAAAAAATGATAACGTGTTAACACGACAAATACTCACTTTCAATGCATTATTTACGAATATCACAGAATTTTCCAACTGAGTTGTCAATATTTAACGATAATATTATCGATTCGACTTTACGAGAATTTTATGGTAAACATTTGAAACACCTGTTGTTCTCTTTTCTCTATATTATTGCAGTCAGCAAAATTGTAATATTGTAAATATTTGGAAGAACGAGCTGTGGCGTGTGACAGAACACGCGTGAGTTCCCGCCAATTCCATAGCAGAGAGACAGCTGATCATATATAGCAGCGCCAAGGTAAAGCCGCGCGCAATTCGAAAATCCTAGTTGAGTTTCGATTTCGGGGAGATAGCGCTGCTTTGAGCATTAATTATTTTGCAATCAAGAAAATTGTCTTCGATCTGAGCTTTCAGTTTTAATTCGAACTATCATTGCCTGAGCGAGAATTGCCAAGTGGATGGTAGGTTGCGGATATACAGAAAGAAAGGCGCAAGTTGAGAAGGCAAAGGCATCCATATTCGTTGTGCAAGAGCATTGCCGAAATCGATGCAACATCACTTCGATCACTGTCTGTATAAAGCGAAACCTCTCCGAAAAATCTGCCTGCGAAGTACTGCGATAGCTTACAACCCACGAGAGGGGAGTCCGACCGATTGTCGCGTCAGGTGGCGAGTGTAGCTGGCCCGCGCTGCGTAGCAACGCCACAACAGCGCATATCCCGCACGCGGAAAGCCAGCTCGCGTTCACGTATATCGCAGGAAAAGCGCGCCACCGGATTCGTCGGGCGTCTCGCTCGATAAATCCCAAACTGCTTATTAGGCGCTAGGCCGAGGGCGCAGCAAAAAGAAAAGGACAAAAGAGAGAGAGAGAGAGAGAGAGAGAGAGAAAAAACAGTGGCTCGTTCGTAACCGCAGCCCAGTACGAATTTTAAATGACCGCAAGACACGCGTCGCCTTCGATGTCTCGCCCCTGCGATTGCGCAGGCAAAGCTAGTGGTAGGCGAAGCACACCGGCATTGATCGCCGAGCCTGTCTACACCTACCTCTCTACCTATCGCACCGACGAGTCAGAGAGAGAGAGAGAGAGAGAGAGACGGGAACTCTGGCGCACTTGTGAAATATTCACCGCGAGGGCGGTCGTATTGCCGAGCGCCTCCAGCAGGGGGGAAAAACGAGAGAGAGAGAAAACAGCTACGCCGTGTTTCGGAAAAACGCAGTTGCAGCCTTCTCCAGCCCTGCTGACTTCTCGCTTGGCTGCCGGGCGTATATCTCTTATTTGTTTCATTCGGGGCGAGACCGAACGCCGCTTGCTCGCCGAAATACACCTATACCATCCTCTCGCGCGGTAAACTATTAAATGCTCGCCGTACGCGCGGCGCGTGCTTTGCGACCGGCCAGCTTGTCGCTCTGCGTTTTATATGCAAAATATCCGAGCGGTCGCTATCCAACTTTGCTTTACCACGAGTCTGCGGCTTCGCTCGTCCCTTAAACCAGCGAAATTTCTTTCTCCGCATGGTTTTGTCTGGTTCGCTCGCCTGGAATGCCAACTTTTTCCATGGCGTCTCGCAAATATTTCATCAGGATTGCATTTTACGTAATCGCGCGCTAAGTGATAAATGCTATTTCACTCCTCAACTTTGGCTATCTACTATAATTTTTTAATACCCGTCAGGACGAATTTCCAGCTGGCTTGGTGTATTTACTGCCAACTTCCGAGGGAGATAGCGTTCATGTATTTGTTAACAGTGGTACATTTTAACTCGTTGAAAGTCTCTCGTACTATTTGCAAGAACAAAACGCCACTTTGGCTTCATTAAGCTGCGAATTGACGTGAGAAATGTAACAATTATAACAAACGCGATTCCTCCGCACAAGGTTGTAGCGTATACTGATATTGAGGCTTAATGGAACGGCTTAATAAATAAGCAATTGAGTTTGACGGAAAACACAACACGAAGAGAACAGTTGTTGCTGAAGCATTCATGCGATATCTCGGACAACCCTCTCGCAACGCATTCCAAAAGCTAAACAGAAAATCGTGAACGCATCGAACAAAAGAGATAGAGACCGTGACGGAAATGAAAAACATATTCGCTAATAAGAAAGGAAAGAAAGAGTGAAATTGCTAACGTTCGTCATCGGATAGAAGCCCTCGCGCGCGCGCGCGTACAGAAAGGAAAGGTAAAAAACGAAGAGGAGGGATAGGGAAGGGGGCCCTAAGTTAGCGAGTAACAGGTGTCGGGGGGCCCGTACAACCTGTCGCGACTGTGTAACGCCATCGGCGAGCGCGACAAAGATGGAATGAGCTGCTGCTGCCGGCCGAGGCAGCTGGTGGTTATATGGCAGCCGGTGCAACGACTCGGAGAGAGAGAGAGAGAGAGAGAGAGAGAACGAGAGAGACAGAGAGAGGGAGAAAAGCACCGGCTGCGCCGTCGGGTGCCGGTGGCGCTTGTGATGCCTATGCGTTTTTCGCTGTTTCATTGGCGACCTGCCGAAAAACCTATCTCGCGCCGATGATCGGCTTTTCGCGCGCGCAGCTGAGAAACAACGCCAGGCCTGGACGTTCACCTGCGAGGCTCGCTTGGCTTCCGATGCTCCCTACTGGGAATTAGCCGGGTTAATGAGTCGTGCGCCTGGTATAATTGCCCGCGAGGCTTCTTCTTTTTCTCCGTGCGCCCCCGTCGCGTGAACTTTAATGAAATTCGCGCTTGTTTTCGCTTTTTCTGCGCGAACGCGTCTGAATAAAATTTTTTTTTTCTTCGGTCGTTTCTTTTTCTGCTTCTTTTCTTGCATAAATAATCGCCGAGAATAAGCGATTATCCAGAGACTTTGACTCGTTATTTATTTTTTTCTTTCCTTATCCAGTCACTCTTGACGGGGATTCACCGGGGAGAGTCTTTACTAACGATAACAAATGCGTAATGATTCCTTCTACGACTTGGTAAAGACGAGTTTGAGAGACGGCTAAATCAGAAATAAATGGAGAAAGAGACGCGACATTCGTCGACAAAGGCGACGTTGACGATTTTCACCCTGAAAGAACTCGATAACCGGCAAGTGTTTATAAGCGAACCCGCGTTAAAAAATGCAAGAGTCAAGGCCTGTCTTCGTGGCGTACACGTATAAATTCAATTCCCAGCGAACGATCGGAGTACAGAGACAGCAGCTAGCAAGCGAGTGTATACTGCACGGACGGAAATCGTTATAAAATAGTCAAGCCTCAATCCCCTCGATCTTCTCTCCCTCTCTCTCCCTCTCTCTCCCTCTCTCTCACTCTACTTCACCTATCTCGAGTTCCGGCTTGTAAAACGTTTTTCTAAAATACAGAGCTCGGTCAGGTGCAGCACTTTTCTCTCTCTCTCTCTCTCTCTCTCTTTCGTGGCACGTGCTCGAGGCGGGTTTCTTGTGCTCTCTCTCTCTCTCTCTCTCTCTCTCTCTTTCGGCCATTCACAATGGGGACTCGATTTTTCCGGGGCGCGAGCCTACTTATACGCCAACTACTAGACGAAACCTGCTTCTCAACAAGGGGTGGTGTGTGTGTGGATGTGTCTGTGTGTGTCTCGGTCGACCCTCGAAATGCAACACAGCAACCTCATTAGGGTCGTCGTGCGTGCGCGCGCGTGCATGTGTGCGCCCGCGCCACGCCTCCGATTATTGGAGTTGATTTATCGATGTGACGATTTGTGCTTCCATGCTGCGCGTCTTTCCTTTTTTTCTCTTCTCCGCAGTCGTCAAGGAGGGTCAATAACACGCACTCGATAACTATTCCGGTATCTCGTTGCAAAGCTTATTTACTAAGCTGGTACAAGTATGATGTTTTGCCGTGTAGGGGGATGATGAGTGTGGTATTCTTTTTTTTTCTTCTTCCGATCGCTTCAGAGCTATTATAACGTGCTTCTTTACAGGTGACAGTCGGAAGAATTATTGATATTTGCTAAAGTCGTGCACGATGAAAGTTACAACTGTGCGACCAGAGCTATTGATTTTTCTTAGAGCGCACCACATAAAATTATATTGGTTACGAACTAAACTGATATTAAATTGAATATTAAAATAATGCAGTTATAGATTTTTAACCTCAGGATATTCGATAGCAAAATGCCATTTTATCGAGTCATAACGTACTTCATTTACAAGAAGTTAACAAGGCATTCGATACGAAATTTAATGTGAAAATGTACCTGTGGTAATATGTTTTGAAAAGAGTTTTTCTTCGAATAGACGAGTGTTTTCTGAAGTGATCGCACATCCAGACCGAGCTCGAGGAAGGCAAGAGAACTCTAGCATTCAATCGTAATTCCCATTGTAATAAATGAAAACGCAAGCTCTGGAGGAAATCCCATCGTTTTAATTTGACTGTGGTTAGGCCTGCAAAGCTCACGGAAGCCGCGGCATATCTCGAAGTGCCTCCCCTTCCCGGCCCAGTTATTAAATAATCGTCAGGTAAAGTGGCTTTCTACAAAAAGCTCTAAATTAATGAGCCCATCAAGTATTACGCAATAAAACAAGAAAGAAAAGGTCCCCAAAAATAAACAAGCTTCCGCGATCAATAAAATCCTCAAGCAAGCAGCGACGTTAAAGAAAAAGGGAGAGAACTTTTCCATCCTGCAGGCAGGGTAAACACATGGTCGTACAAAAGGCTAATCAGGCAGACTGTCCGCTCATAAAAATCATACGAGTCCTGAAAACTCATTATCGAGCTCATTTCGTGCAGAGAGAGAGAGAGAGAGAGAGAGCAAAGAACCTCGCGCGACGACGACGGTGGTAGCGTTTTGAAAAGGGCCACTCGAGTTTCTCGTCGTCGTTGGCGTCTCCCTCGCAAGTATATCGTGGTTCGTCATCGTCGCGCGGGCGTCATCTTCGTCGTACCTTGCGGCGTTGGTTTCGCTCGCAGAACGCTTTTTTTATATGTGCCTTCGCCCGAGGCTCGCAAGCTTTCCTACATACCAGGCGGAAGCTACTTCTTCTACGTGGTCGTCGTCTTTTCTCTCTCCTTCTTTATTCGCGAGAAAGAAATGGGAAGGAAAAAATTTGTATGTGCCGGACTGGTAGGACGTATTTTCGTGCCGAGCGTATGCCGGGAGGTAGGAAACTTTGGGCGGGCGCTGGCCTAGTTTCCATGGGACTTTGAATCTTTCGCGTGGAGCACCGCCGACGCCGAAGAGGCGCGACAAAAGCTCCGGCGAGCGCGCTAATTAAGCGACGAACAGCCGAGCCAAACGGTCCTTTTCCACTTGCGCAGCGACAAGGGGAAAGGAAAAATCAATCTACCGACGGCGCAGGCTGCAGGAACACATCGGGCCTAAAAGTGCGCACGCCAAGCAGCGGCAGAGTCAGGTGGAACGATAAAGTTATTCGGTGCTCTGTCTCCCTCTCTCTCTCTCTCTCTCTCTCTCTCTCTCTCTCTCTCTCCTTTACCCTCGGTACGAACCGTTGGCGGCGCAAGCTGAGTGGCAACGCCGCCCGCGATAGCGCACGCCACGGCGCGCGCGCGCACACACACACACACACACACACATACACACAGGCACGCGGGCGCGCGCGCGCGGCGGCCGAAAGGTGCGCGTGTGTAGGTAGAGGAGAAGCTGGCAGAGAGGGGACGAGAGTGCCTCTCTCTCTCTCTCTCTCCGGTCGACGCGGCGGCAGCGGCGGCGTTTCCTCCTCCTGGCCGTCGCTGCTCCGGTTGCCCCTTCTGCGCTGGCGCGCCGCGAGCGACCGAGCGAACGTCAGTCAGTCTATCGGCAACCTGCGCAGCAGTCGCGTGTCTCGGTTCGCGCAGTGAGTAGCGTGTACGCGCCCCTCAGCAGCACACCCATCTCTCGCGCACTCGCCGACTGACAGACTCTCCCTTTTAGTTGCCTTGTTTTTTGGTTTGCCGCCAGCCGAGCAGCGAGCCAGGGCTTGCGTGCGTGCATACTGTGACCGTCCGAGAGCGCGAGGAGAAGCGAGGCCGCCGTTGCGCGCGCGCGCGTTGTTGTGTGCCTTCACCTGCTGCCGCGAGCTTTCGCGCGGACCGGCGCGGCTCCTGGCCCCTTTCCCGAACAGCCACTCGCACGGTCGGCGCGGCCCAAAGAAGACAGTCGCGCTTGCGCTTGCGCTGCCGGCAATCGATTGCAGCAGCAGCAGCAGCAGCAGCAGCAGCGGGAGCAGCGGGAGCAGCAGCGGGAGCAGCAGCGGGAGCAGCAGCACGAGCAGCGGCAGCAACAGCAGCAGCGGCGGCGGCACTGCTGGCCGCACGCACAGCCGCACACACTCGGACACACGCCAGGCGCAGAGAGAAAGTGGCGTAGGTGTGCGCGAGTGCGAGTGCGAGCGTAGCGCCGGTGGCGGCACACACCTGGCGATCGGCGGCGGTGTCGGCGCGCTGTCCGCGGCTGGCCTGCGCGACTGACATGCCCGCCGGAGCTGGCTCGGCAAGCAACCCGTCGTCGCTCGGAGCAAGCATCGGCCCCGAGCGCCAGCTGCGGTAGGCGCCCGCGCGGGCAGCACGCGAGGGAGCGGCAGCAGCGGCAGCAGCAGCAGCAGCAGCAGCAGCAGCGGGCCCAGCGGGCAGCGAGCGTCGCCGGACAGGCAGCCAGCAGCGCGGGCACGATCGCGACGACCGGAGCGGCGCCGTATTGGGCGAAGATAGGACTCGAGCTGGAGCTCGAGCAGGAGCAGCAGCTGAGGCAGGCGCAGGCGGCTGCTGCTGCTGCTGCCGCGGCGGCGGCGGCTCTCGGCTCGTTGCAGCAGCGCTACCAAGTTCAGCACCAGCAGCACCAGCACCAGCACCAGCAGCAGCAGCAGCAGCACCAGCACCAGCAGCACCAGCAGCAGCAGGCGGCGGCGGCGGCAGCGGCAGCAGCGGCCGCGGCTCAGCGTCGCCACTGGAGCCTCATCAACGCCGAGTCTTCGGCCTACCTGCTCCAGCAGCACCAACACCTGCTGCAGCAGCAGGTCGCAGCTGCGGCGGTCGCCAACCACCACAATCACCAGCAGCAGCAGCAACAGCAGCACCAGCAGCAAGCAGCGCTCGCCGAGCAGGTCGCGCTGAGCAACGCTAACACGACGACCATTGCGCCGCCGGCACTCAAGCGACCCAGGCGGGACACGACGCCCCACGCCACCGCCGCGACCGCCGCCGGCAGCACCACCGCCGCTGCCGCCGCCAACAACAGCAACAGCAACGCCGCCCAGCTGGTCGTCGCCGCGCAGATACACGGCAGCGACGACCTGTCGCCGCCGCAGACCCCCAACAACAACAGTAACAGCAGCATCGCCGCCGCCGCCCCCGCACAACCTAACTCCGGTCAGCAGCCAGACCAGACCGTGCAGGTTATCGTTGCCGCCGCTGCCAGTGTTCAGTCGACCACCACGCAGCCCAACAGTCAGAGCAACGGTCCCGTACCACAGGAACAGCAGCAGATCATGGACGCACCACTGTCGCAGAGCATGGACTCGGTCAACACCGTAGCCACCTGCGAGGACGAGGTTCGTGCCCATCCTTCCGCTCATTCCAGCACTGGCGCTCGGCTCGCTGCGGATCATTTTTCTCGAGTGCGATTCACCGTGTCCCCGGCCCGGAGGGGGTTTCGAAGGGAAAACTCCGTTCGGATCTGCGAAAAGGGCCTCCTAACAGCGAGTATTAAAGGGGACACAGCCGGTGAACACGGGAGAGCCAGCTTTCGTTATTCTTCTCTTTGGCGCTTCTCGCCACGTAAACACAAAAATTTCGTTGGCAATAAAGCAAACGGGTTTACAGAGTTATCCTTCTACGTGCGCACGCTTACGATTATACGTACTCGTGACGATAGCATATTTTTTTCCCGATACGAAGAAAAACACTACTGGCACGCGCACAGTACAGTCGAATGATTGGTTTGACGAAGGTGAGGGGTTTGGAGGGGGAGGGGAGGGGGGCTTTGCATAATTCGAGTTGATCGCTGTAGCTAGTCCAGTTTAATTTAGGCAGTTTGCGATCACACTGCCGCTGCACAAGGAGTTTGGTCGTTTGTCCCGTTTAGCCATCCACCATTATTCGCGAAACTTTGTGCCAACGAATTAGCCATCCACGGGCAACAATAACGAAATATTGCCGCCGAGTCGTTGAGATTTACCGACCAACTCGGTCGCGCACGGCTGCGGCTTGCTAATTAAGCTCACCTTTTTGCGATCGACGACGGCGACCTGGAGTCGGGTACGGGCGAGCGACAACCAGACGTAAACGTAGGCGGCAAGCGTAGACGACGACGAAGGACGGCAGTTCGGAAAAGTGGACGGTGGCGGCGAGCGTACGCGCGACCAATTAAACGCGAGACGTGAGCGCACTCGAGCGAGCGGGTATACAAAAGACACGTGCGAGAGAAGGGCGTGCGTACGCATACGCCGAGCGCACGAGCCGCAGCCTTTTACCTCCCCGTGCGCGAGACAGCGACGAAGAATAGACGTTGCCGGCGTGTGTGCTCGTTATCCCTGTGTATCAATTTCGCGCCGATTGACCGAGGCAACAGTTATTAGCGACAATCGAGACACCTACCGCCACGTTCTGTTTTATTCCTTTTCTCTCTCTTTCTCTCGCTCTCTTGCCGATTTTTCGCGGCCTGACAGTGTCACGTTGGCTGGCAGTCGTACTCGAGGCAGCTCTTTGTGATTATGCCATTGTTCCTGATTATCTATTATATTCGGTCGTTCGCGAGTGCGTTATGCAATTCTAACGATAAACACGACTGCAAGTTACGTTACGTGGCGAGGCTAACTGACGCGTCACGATCGGGTTCAATCGGTCTTTTTTTTGCACTCGTCCTGCGCCACGCACCAAGCGACAAAACGAGAGAGTCGATTATTCGAAACGAGCGCGTCGCAGAGCGAAAGATTCCTGGGGTGAAACAACGGTGAACGATAAGCTCCTTGTTACGGCGGAGCCGCACGCTTTCGATACTTGCGCAGGGACCTGCGCATCGCGCCCGGAGGCGAAAAGCTTGGACCTGCGCTCGTAGGAGAGGGAGTTTTGCGTGTGTACACACGTATATATATATATATATACGTCTAAGCGGCGAAGGACGACGCGCGTTTCAATGCAGCAGGTTTATTCCCACTAGAACGCGCGCGTGTAACGCCGCTCACGGACGCAGCGAGAAAATTGCGCAATGGCAATTGGATACTGTGGGAACTGCCGACTCTCGCGGCATCGACGTTTTAATTGTGATCGAGTCCGCGCGTATCGATGCTTCCCTGCGTCACTCGACAGCTCGAATATCGATATATTCAAATTGCACGCCCGCTCACTGCAAATCGGACCTACTCGGCGATCGAAAGGAGCACGACGCCGCGCTCTATTTTTTTCGGGAAAAACACGTAACACCCAGCTCCCCCGCGCGCGCACGCAGGATGTATACGTATATAACGAGGCGCTGTGCCTTCCCTCTCTCAGGTGCTGCCGCCGCCGCCGCCGCCGCTACCGCCACCGCCGCTGCCACCACCATGCGCCTGCTATTGATTTTTCGCGGCGGCGCCGCGCCGTGTCACGTCATATGGATGCCCCTTCTCACGACATCCTTCAATTTCGTTCCTTATTTCCGATATATACCTCTCCGTGTGCGTACGTACAGCTAGACCTTTAGTTATTTATGTATTGGTAAGCGCGGGGCTATATACGAATTATTACCAGAGGGAGGGTTGGCCTATAACGCCGTACGTGCATTTTTCTTCTCTCTCTCGCTCTCTTGAGGGTTGGGTTGAGTTCCCTGTGTAATGCGTTTATCGTCGGTTAATATATGTATTTTCATGGCGGCTCCGTTTTTCTCTCTTTCTCTCTCGACCCTTCCGTGTATTTTTTTTCGTTTTTTTCTCTCTCTCTCTCTCTCTCTCTCTCGGAGGACGAATGCCCGTTCTCCGAAAACGCACCAGCGACGCGCTTAATCAAGCTAGAGAGCTTTCGACTTATCATTGAAAATTTTTAATCGTGGCGTGTACGTCGAATCTATCACGGAATCATCGAGGATGGCTTTTCATCCGGCAGAGGCGAAAAGCAAAACTGATAAACATCGACAGCTACTCTCTCCTTTGAAATCCCGCTTTCGCCACTCCGCATTATTACTCTTTCAAGAGACGTTCCATTTTCAGCGAGGTAATCTACTTTTTCCGTCTGCATTATTAAGCTCCTGAATGAGGATACCTTTAATCATCTCTCGCTCGAGCGAATTTAACATTCGCTCGGTGTGGTCGAAGCTTCGGTCAGATTTTGATGCCGAAGCCGCTCGGCCCGCGTTGAGTACACGCAGTTGGTTGTTTATCGCTTGCGCGAGGTGGCAGACCGAATGATCGACCGGTAAGCGCCTTGCACGAAACTACATTTGCCTTTGGCGCGATGCAAACGTTATCGTGTCACTTTCCTAATGCGTTCGGGAAATAGGACAATGAAACGAGCGACATAATCGAGAGGGCTAAGGCAAACAAGACGAATCGACATTGAAAGCAAATAGTCGAGGCTTTCTCTTTCGTGTCAAAGTCCATTAGAGTCGACAGCAACAGCAGCCCTTTTCCCAGGCCAATATTCCTCTAATATCCATCGCGTCTCTCTCCCTCTCTCAACCCACATATTTAATCCGGCTTTCGCACATTTGTCACATAGCGGGCATTAGTAATCGAATTCCATCGCGTCTGCCGAGCGTCTGCTAGTTTTCTGTTTCTCCTGGCGCGTCTGTCACAACCCTCCTAGCATCGCGCGAGAGATGCAAAAGGGGGCAAGCGGCAGCTTAACAAAAATCCCCCCCTCTCTCCTCGCACACGCGCGCACACACAACGAGACGTTTTATGGTTTCACGGATAGTCGACCAGGATTACTCCTCGAGCGGAAAAAAGCCCTTTCGCTTTTTGTTAGTTTCGAATATAAGAAGGGACGTAGACGCAGGTGTTTGAGGGTGAAATCGGTGTGTCGGTGGCTCGTTCTGCGGGGAGAAACGCACTTCCGGCCGATAATTATCGGGAAAAGTCGATCGCAGCTGCTATTGTTTTTTTCTTTTTTAACGTCACTTTGATTCTCACGGTGCCTGACATTTTCGGCACTGATCAACGACGAAGGCTCGCACTGCCAAAAAAAATTCTCTGAATAACGCATGCGACACTCGGTTTAAAACCGACGCAATCCTTTTTTTCTCTCACTTTTCGTTTTCGCGGAGGCGTAATTGCATTTTAATCACCGCGGGGCGATACGATAAAGTTAAAATTAAAAAAAAGAAAAACGAAAAAAAGGGCTAAAAGTAACGATTAAAATTGAAACGACGCTGGATTATGAATAGGCGAAACTCGCGGCAATGTTATTTTTCAGGGCTAACGAGCGAGTAGTGGGTTCGTGAATTAAATGCTTGACGAGTCGCGTGTGCGCGTGCGCGTGTGCTCGTTTTTTCCTCGCAAACGAGTTTCGTGATTTGGTTGCGAGAGAGAGAGAGAGAGAGAGAGAGAGAGAGAGAGAGAGAGAGAGAGAGAGAGAGAGAGAGAGAGAGAGAGAGAGAGAGATAGATAGCGGGCGCACCGCGTGTATCGTCATCTTATTTAAAATTACAGCACGCCGGTGCGATTTTGATCTTGGCGACGTCAGAGTTTGCTTTTCTAACAACCTTTGCTCGCCAAGAGCTTTTATCGTCGAACAACCAAATGTAATTGGTTGGATGATGGGATATTATTTGCACGGGCAACTTATTAAACGCGCACATCTCGATTTCACGGCTACCACTGCTGTTGGTTGTTGTTCTTGTTGTTGTACGTCGAGGTATATATATCTGTGCTGCAAACCGCCGCTAGTCAGCAAGCCGGGGCAGCGGTAATTGTTTGAGATGAATTCCTCGAAATAATGAATGACGTCGGCAAATAACAGGCCCCGGTCGTAGAAAATATACAGCAATGGAAACTTTCGTGACTAGACGTTTATTGTACTTTTCATCGTTAAAAGAAAAAAGATTGTCAGTATTCCTCTTTCTCCGTTTTTTTTCCTCGATGACTTTATATTGCGCGAGCTTTCGATCCAATAAACAAAAAAAAAACTTGTCTCTGGAAAACGTCGCAGTCATTCGGGAAAATTGTAGCTTTGAAAAAGAAAAATTAAAAGCACTACTTTGCCGTGCGTTGCGAAAGCAAATTTTGTTCCCCAGGCAATATAACATGCATCTCTTCCATCCTGTGCGCGCGCGCGTGTGTCGCATCCGGCTAAAAAAAAAAAGAATTGAAGTTTTGCGAGAGAGTGAGGTTGGATTACCGGGGCAGAGAAGGAAGA